GTTTCCAACTTTGTCTTACTCAGAAAGTATGAAAATCCAGTCAAATTTTACCATATTTTTACAACGTCATAAAGAGAAAGCCTTCACAAAAAAACATAATTTCGGGCTTTTCCCATAACTCTTATGACCACAAGGACCTAAAAAGACCCAGGCCGTTCAAATTTTTATTGTACACAGCAATTTCAAGGGACGTAAAGTCCTTTCCATGAACACAAAGACTGCCGCCGCCCCAGCAGGCGCCCGGCACGCCCTGGGCACTGGAATTGTTTTGTGCGTTGGACACGCGTTGGGCGACGCCGCTGGATCAGTACGTCCCCGCCACCACACAGTGCCCCTGCGGTCCTGCCGCCCTGCCGCCACTTTCCAAGCGCGGCGACAGCTAACGGGCCTCGTTCGTTCGCTTCGACGGGCCGAGCGAAAACAAAAAAAAAAGGAAAGGGAAACGAAAAAACAGAAAAAAGGGTCAAAATGCGTCGCCGCATGGCGCTCCAAAAAAGAAGAAACGAGGGCGGGAGGGCTCGATGCAGGCGGGGGCATATCTGCAACGCCAGCCACAGCCAAGCCGTGGGAAGGGGGAGAAGAGGGCCGGCCTGCCAGCACTGCCAGCAGGGGTGCGGCCTGCGGGGCGGGGCGGGGCGTCCCGAGGCGCCCCCGAGCAAAGCACGCCGCCAAACTCGCAACAATGTCACCCCGCGGTCCTCGCGGTCCCCGCCAGGCGCCACCAGCACCTGGACAACACTACGGTACACTACGGTACACCAACGCCAGCGCGGCAAAACACGTCCGTGCCTGCGGCCGTTCAAAACTGCTACGTACTCGCAAACAAAGAAAGAAATGACGCTTTTCGACTGGCAAGCAGCTCAGCGGGGAAAACGCAGTCGGTCGACGTTCCCGCGGTCCCACACAGCACACACACTTACGAACTAGCGTGCCGCGGCCGCGGGTTCAAGCACCGCCCCCGCCGCCAAGTTGGCCGTCGTCGGCAGCCTGATTCCGAACGGAGCTCTCTCCCTCTCCCTCCGCTGAGGAACGCCTCTCAGCGCGAGAGAGACGGAGCGCTGAACTGTACGGAAAGGAATCGCTCTGCTGGCCGCCGGCCTGGGTGTCACGTGACGCCGCGAGGGCCCCGCGACGCCCCTTTCCTTGGCGGGGCCCTCGCGGACCCTTCCGGACCCTCCCGGAGACTGGCCCACGGCACGGCGTGGCGCGGGGCCATGGGGCCCCCAGTGGGTGCAGCGCGGCGCAGCGCAGCCTGGCGCAGCAGCCACGCGGTGGACAAAGACCGCGGCCGGGGCCACGTGGGGCTGTCTGCGGGCTCAATTTGAACAGGCGACTCGGGTCTCGCTCTCTCTCTCTGTCGCACTCGAGGGGTGTCCCGCAGGGGTGCGAGAGAGACAGCACTCTTCAGAGCCGTCCCGCTGCGGGTGCGCGAGGGAGTTTGCATCAGCGCGGCTGGCCCAGCATCCAGTGCAACGACATCGCCTTGCCCAACAGAGCGGCAAGGGGGGAGCCGGGCAGAGCGGGGCAGGCGGATGGCTTGCCCGTCAGCAGAAAACACACACGCCACGCCATGGCGTCGGATCGCTCCAGGCCCGCCCGGTCTTCACGCGCGTCCAAAACGACACACACGCCACGCACTTCTCCGACTTCAGTTGGCCACTGCATGGGAGGGGCACGAAAAGCGTTGCCCCCTTCTTTTTCCCATAGGTAAAAAAGGCGGGGGTGAGGAGAGGGGAGGGTCGTCACCATGGTTGCGCAACGGGGGCACGCCGTGTGGCACGCCACCACGCGGCGGGCGAGGCGCGGCGCGTCACCGCCACACTCGCGGGTCCGCTCCCTTTGTCCGCGCCAAAACCGCCTCGGCAGCGCCGGGACTCGAACCCGGGGCCCCCGCCAGTTTGTTTTCACAGCGGGGTCAGCCTGCAGGGCCGCGGGGGCCGCAGAGGGCACCTTCGCCTCGCCTGGCTTGGCCACTGCCGCCACCACAGCGGCGAGGCGCGGCGAGGCGAGGCGGGCTGGGCCAAGCGCCGAGCCCGACTAAAGCCGGACCAGGCCGGGGCCCAAATTACGGGCTCCGGCCAATTGGCATCGAAGCGAGTCCAGCGAGTCCAGCCAGCCGGCTAAGCGCTCCAAGACAAAGGCACGCTATCAGCCCGCCACGCCGCGGAGCCCCAACCAAATCCCTCACACGCCGCCAACGCCGCGCCGTCTCCCTCGCACCCCCTGCGGAACGGGCCGCAACCCGCGGGTGCGAGAGAGTTCGGCAGCGAGCTGCAGCGCGAAGCGAGACCGCCAACTTCCTCATTCCTCCAATCGCGGGGCTGCCTGCCTGCCTGCTGCCTGCCGCCAGCAGCGTCAGAAATAAAGCTGACCGCGGCGGCGGCCGTCGTCGAACCCGGGACATTTGCATCCGAGCGAGTCGCGGAGTCACGTGCCGCGCACTGCAGCAAGAAGGAAACCAAAGGCCCGGCTAAAAACGAAGTGCAGCGAGGCCCGCTACGCCGAGCGCTACGCGCCGCGCGAGGCTATTTGAACACGCGGCCACACGACGCCACGGCCAAGCTTATCTAACGGCCGCGGACTTCCACGGGACGACTAAAGGGCCTTACCCCGCACCACGCCGCGCCACGCCGGCCGCGCCGCAGGGGAGCTCGCCGCGGCCAAGAAGGCCCACGGCGCGCCCAGCTGTGTCCGGCGGGGCACTGGCGGCTTGGCGCGTCCGAACGGCAACACTTAAAATAACGCGCCACACCATCGCGGCCCGGTGGGCCCGGTGCCCTACCTCCCTCTCAGTCGCACACCACGCGCCGCCACCGCGGCCCAACGCGCGCGACAGAGAGGACTAGAGCCCCGCCGGCCGGCACGCCCCGCGACGCACCGCAGCGGCGGAGCCAGGGGCAGCGCCAGGGGTACGCACCCCGCCCCGCGGCCCGCGGTCGCCAGCTTCCCGGCCGTGACGTCGCCACCAAGACACCGTCCGCGCCGCGCGGCCCGGCGGCCAGGCCCTCGGCCAGCGCAACAGAAACAAGAAATAAATACGCAAACATGGATCGATCGACGCGGCCGATATAGAAGCAGGCCGCGGCCAGGCCCGCGACATGCGAGGGGGGCGTGGACGTGGAGGGGCCGCGGAAGCACACGTAGGCCGTCCGCCGCGACCCTGCAGGGCCCTGGCCGGCCGGCCGCCGGGAAGGAAGCAAGGGTTGCCGCCGCCCGCCTAAACAGGAACTCTAGAGCAACCGTTGGTAGACGGACGGCGGGGAGGGGAGGGGCGGACGGCGGACGCGCTCAAAGCAACCCGTTGTTCGCCGGGGTCAGGCAGGCCGCCGACGCCGCCTGGTACGCCGCGACCGAGCCCACAAAGCGAGTGCAGATCCCATCTCCACGCCGCCACCCTGGCCGCGGCGACCGCGCCGAGCTCCTTACGAATTCCGTCGGCGACAACTCCAGCGCGTGTGCGTCAGAACAGCCTCGCGCAGCCACGGCGCGTATCAACACCAGGGTCATAAACGCGCCGCGGCTAAAACAAGACTTCGCCGCAACAGGTCATCAAGACCTGCCCGCCCTTCGCAACCGGAGGACCCCGCCGACGGCGCCCTTCCGACCCCCGCAGGCCCGTCGCATTCCCCCGCCACAGCTACGCCCCCGGCGGACGTTTAAAACCGTCCCTTTCCCCGTGGCGGGAAGGGGGAAAGGGAGGGGGGACGCTGGGCGGTAGTACCTGTGCCTGCGCGAGAGGGAGAGCGTCAAGCGACGCGAGCGCGGTTCACCAACCCCGCCGAGTGCAAGGGGACCACCCCCGGGAACCCTGAGGTACCTGTGGGCCACCCTGGGGACCCGCGGCGCCCTGCGCACTGCCCGCCCTGCCTCCATCGATTCTGCCTGCTCTGCCTAATCGAGTTTGGCGAGCACGCCACCGGCACGGCAGGGGCACGCCACTCTGGGCCGGCCTCGCCCCGCCTAGGGGTCAACACCCAACAGACAAAGAGCAAAAACGCGGCGCCGCCGCCGCGAGTCGAACCCGCGACCGGGCCGTGATCGCAGACGGCTGGCAAGGATGCAAGTCCAAGGCGATAGCGCGCCAGTCTGGCAAAGGCCTTATCGAGGGCCACTGCAGCTGCAGCAGCAGCAGCGCATGCAGACAGCAGACGGCGGCGTCCAGCTCGGCGGCCCAAGACAGGGAATGACCCACACTGCAGCGCTGCAGCCAACCCACCGTCACCAAACCAGATTGCAGGCAATTGCTCGGCGCAGTCGAGCGGCAACGCGGAGCAACGCGCGGCATTCCCCATGCCCCGCTCGCTCCCCATTCCCCCCGCGAAGCGCGTAGCCTGGCCCTGGCGTAGCGCGAAGCCCGGCCACCCGGGCGGCGTACGCTACTGAAGTACGTCCAGCTACGTCCTGCGTCCGACGCAAAGTCCACCCGGCCGCCCCGCTAGGCCCGCTCGGCCCGCTCGGCCCGCCAGCTCCGAGTCCGAGGTGGACGACGACGGCGATAAACAGACTAGACTGCAGTGATTCATTCATGTAGCGCGCAGCGACGCGGCGCGTACAACTCGCAGGCCCCATTCAAAGTAAAATCCCTGCGAGTCGTACGGGCCGGGCCGGGCCGGGCAGTGACATGCATCCCAAATAGAAACAAAACGGAACTCTGGAACTTAAAGCCTCGTAGGTTGGGAGGGTTCAGTATCTCGTGGAAGACAAAAATAAACCAAGTTTCATGCAACTAAGGTACATTTGGCCAAAGCCGCAATCCTTAGAGCGACATGCCCACAACTAACAATTCAAGTGATTTTAATGTATACAGCTGCCAATGTTAGTCCTTAAGAGGACTGGAATACGTACGAGACCACAGGCAGCCACAATAGGGCAGTGCACTTGAATGAAACTAAAGAGGGAACGTCAGACTAACCAGAAGACATGAATGCGATTGAATAAAGCCAACCAGAAATGACGAGCAAGGGCCAAGCTAACAGATAAAAAAAGAAGGCGAAACTTACATAGGCAGGGGCTGCTGGTGGGGGTTGTTGTAGGACACCATTTCATCACAGCTTTCTCCTCCAGAACTGCTCGCAGTCACATCTGAATCCATGGCATTTTCCACCATGCGGAACTGGGTATGAAGTTGGCCAGCCACCTTCTCCACTTCCGCCCTCAGTTCAGGGCCAACTACAGTGACATCTGTGCCCAAAGGCACTGTTGCTGTCCGATCACTGGACCCTGAACCGAAGTAGCGATGCTGAGGGTGACGATTGTTGGCTGCTGAGTGAGCCGAGTCATCAAATTGCCTCAACATTTGCGTAATAGTTCTTGGAGGCCTGACCCGACTCACTTCCTGAGACTGAGCTTGGGTCTGAGCCTCAACCATTAAGCGTTGTGTTTCTTTCATTAATCCATTAATTTCTTCACTCGCATGCCTGCCCATGGTCTTAGACTGCAATTTACGCAAGCGTCGCAACAAAAACTCACAGCGCCGCTCTGACTGAAACTGCTTTTTTCTTGCTTCTTCTATTCTTTCATTGGCATTGCATTCTTTGGCAGGTTCTGTCATTGTAGTGTCAGCATCAGGCATGTGAGGGTCTGGGTCAGGATCTCCACACATTTTCATTTCCAATTCATTGAAAATATCCCTCTCAAAGTTGAAGGCCGAAGATAGGTCTGCACCCTCTGAGATCGGAAAAATAGGGTCTCCCTCCACATTTTCTACCTGCTCTTGCGCTGCTGACAATGCTTCTTCCAATGTGCCGTCCTCTACCGTTGACTCCATGCTCTTGAAAACTTGTAGCAACTCGTCCATGTTTGGGCCGATATCATTGCTGTTGATGGCAGCACCCAAGTTCTTGAACAGTTGATCCACCTCTGGTGGAAGGAAGCTTTCCTTGAGGAAACCTCCTGCCTCCAAACTGGGTGTCATCCCTGGATGTGATTTCTGTAGGCCCATGTTATTTGATTGATCTTGGTTGGAGGAGTCACTATTCATCATAAAGCTCCTTTCCCCGTTTTCTCCCTTGCAATCCGAGACGTCAAGACACGGAGTGAGGCAAGACTCGGCAGGGATGATGAGACGAGGACGGCTTGGCTTGAGGTTGCCCAAGCCGTTTTTCAGCTTAGTCCCATTGATGCAGACACCGTTACCGTTGAGGATGTTGTCACTCTTCAAATGCCGGGCCACATCGCAGAAGAAGATTTCATCGCTCACAGCACGCACTGCAGCCGTTGGGGATGCAGGTGACGAATGTGATGGGAGCAACTTCAAGTTCTGAGTTTGACCAGGTTCCGTCAAGGCTGGGGCCATGACAACCACATCTGGCTCCAAGCCTTTTCCTAATCTCACTCATCCATGAGATTAGTCAGATCCTACAGACAGACAAAGTCACACATCACACTCGATTCCAAACACTGACACATAGTGACTAGTGCTAGTTGCAGCAACACTAAACATTCACTATTGATTCAATCTTTTGACTGACACTGGCAAACAATTGTCACAGTTATTTTTGAAGCAGTCTGGGCGCACATAACCCCAACTAAGCGATCTGAGGGCACCCATCATACCCGGTCGCGTCCACACCACTCACTCAAAACAAACATTGCGGGCAAGGGCCTCTGCTGGGCTGAGGGGGCTGGGGGCCCACCGGCTTGACGCGGGGACAGCCCTGCCCTGGCCCACGTGATGGGGTTGGGGCTGGGAGGGCTCAGGGCTGGCCGACGGCTAGCTATGCCAACGGGCGGACGGCGGCGGCGTTCTAGAGCCAGAAACACCATCTCCACATCGCAGCGCGGCGCACAGCACAAGCACACGGCCGCAGGCGGGCCGCTCAGCACCGCGCTATGCTACGCCGCTACGCCGCACCGCCAGCCAGGCCCCACGCGAGGCTCCACTCGTATATCCAATGTATGCACACACAACACAGTCACAGTCCACGGCTTAATTTGGCGGCGACGAGCCGATGCAGCCGATGCAAGGGAGCAGGCCGAACAATGGCAGGGCTCAGTACGCCGTACGGGCGGACTGCGGGCTCCAACGAACGGCGCGCGGCGCAGCTCTGCGCAGCTCCCATCCACCACGACGGAGCGGAGCGGAGACGGACTCGGAAAAAACCTCAACGAACCTCCAAGGCCGAAGCCCACATCCACTACTGAGCTCACTGCGGCAGTACCGCCGTACTTCCACCCGAAACTTTTCACTGTCCAGAGACACTGGGCAGGCACAAACAAATACTTTGAAAAATTGCACTTTGATTTTAGAAGCAGAAGGCCGGTCTGTTTTGTGCACTGTTTATTATTTGGTTTGCATCGAATAGTTGGTGTGTTGTTCAGGTAGTAGTCTGACGTCACTTTATGGACCCCTCTCCACACGCCACTGCCGATTGGCTGTTGAAAGCGCGTCACTCCCAGCCCGCTTGGACACACATTCTGCGCATATTGAGCGCCACAGGGCCTAGATCCGACACGGTACTCACAATAACGCACAAAATTCGTCACAAACAGACATTTTCCGGTCACTTTCGAGGCGTCGCCGACTCTCGGGGCGAAGTTGAGAGAGAAACGTAATGGCGGCCGTCCCGAAGTGAGGCCCGAGCTCGGTTCGGTCGTGAAACGGCACGGCTGTCGGCAGCGCGGGAGATGGTGGGGAGCCGAGCCGATGCGACATTTTAAAACCCGAGCCGAGCCGAGCGCCTCCCGAACGCGCGCCGCGCCTGCGCAACGCGCGCTCGGGGCCGGGCCCATAGTCCGTCAGCCGCCACCTGGCCCCGCCACCACGTGACGCGGCAACTAGAGTCCAAACCACGCCGCCCGGCCATCCGCCATCCGCGTCGCCTAGAGAACATCGTGGGGAAAGGCAATTGCAATTGTCGGCGAAAGCCTCTCCGAGGGTATGCCTCTAACTGCCGCTACGAGTTCCCAAGGGTACCCTGGGCACCCGGTACGCGTGAAGACAAGCGATCGGGGCGCACGCATTCCACCACACCCAACGAGTCGTACTTCCCCCTCCAGGATAAAATCTGATCTAAAGATGCTTGAGGCGACCAGAGAGACGACAGCATGGGCCAGTAATGTTTTACTTAAAGATGAAGTCCAACTGCTGACGTCGCTAGGATTTCCCGATTTCTCCTGAAGTCACTCGAACTCGATAGCACCCCACGCGTGAAGATGCGCTGCCGGTGCCACGAAGTGCCGTGTGACTCGTGAGGAAAGAGAAGTACACCCATTAAAATGGGTGATGAGGTGGTTTGCTGCGCAAAGTAAACAATCAAACCTAAGACAAAGTCGGACTAGTTGTGTCAGACGGACTGTACGTTGCCCCGCCAATTCCCCCCACCGCCGCGCCGACCCCCCCGAACACGAAGGCACCCGAACCTCGCCGACGAAGGCCGAAAGCAAGCGACGCCGGCCGAGAGCCGAACGCTCGGGATCACACCATGCCCACCCCTTACTTTCAAATTCTTGAATACTTTCATTTCCCCAAATCCAACCACAAGTGCATGCACTTAAATTATTTGCACGAAATAGGGCCATTGACCCAACTGTGCAATCTACGTTTTTAAGAGCAAAAAGATATTGCCTGTGGGGGAAAAGACGGTACAAGGGAAGACAGGAGACAAACTCTGTAAATTTAGTTAGGTTCAGAAAGTATGCATATTTTCTGGTTAGTACCATGAAGAGGGACACACTCTGTAAGGAAATCACACTATTATAATGCGTATATTTGCATAAGCTTACCTCAGAGTAAAGAGATATCCAATAAATGATGTGCAAGAAGATATCCAATGTGATGAAGTGGTTAATCCATTGTATCCAGAAGGTAATGCACTTGAACACTGACTCTAAACACACTTTTCAAACTGCACACAACACATTCAGCCAATAAAGCCACAATATTTCCACTAATAATTTGATCACTGAGACCTGAACTTTTTTGAGCAGCAACATTTCAACACTAATGATTTCACTATTGACACTGAATAGAGAGTTAACTCTCTTTGGAATTAATTTTTTGTCGCACTTGAAACTTGACAACACAGACGAAGACACTGATACGACTCCAAACAGCATCTAGAACAGAAAAGTTAACCGAAAAAGAATTACATCACTGGCAAAAAAAAAAAAGATCAGGCAGCGGGGTACACTGACAAACCATTTCCATCAAAGAACATGCACTTTGGAATAATATTATAACAATGAAAATAATCTATGTTCAATTCAAAACTGCTAAGAGTCCCCAAAGAAATTAAAAACTGCTAGTTTAAAAACAAAACAAAAAAAAAAGTACTTTAAATCAAGTTTAACTTTTATTTCTGTTCTCATCTGACATAATGACAAGTGAATGTGTGTTTTGAGGGTTTTTTTTTTTTAAATTGTTTAAAAACAATGATTTTATTATTATTTATCTGTCTTGTGTCATAAAATTACAACACAAAAACACATTATGTGGTTTTATGACGAAACAACAGGCTGTGAAGCCGGTGAGCAAAGCTAATGAGTTGGTTCTAACATTCTAGTGCATACTGATCTGAAGTGTGCTAATAGTGCTCCCTGATACACATTTCTGAAATCTGAAAGGATTCTTGCCATAAATTATCCTAAACAAAGATAAAATAAAAATGTTTCACTGATTAAAACATGAAATGACATGATTGGAAGAATATGTGAGGCAAGTTACAAAAACAACAACTGCTTACTCAAAAGATAACCCAAACCTAAAGGCCACCTAAAGAGCAACAAGCTCATGAACTTAACCAAGATGGAAGAAGACATCAACTCACTGACAGCATATAAAGGGATCATTTCAAATCAATGCATTAATAGCACTGATCCTTTCAAGATAAACAACAGCGACGCCACATTCAAGTAAATTGACGAAATAATAGATTTGGTGTGACAGAGGTTGATCAGCTGATGGGCCTGACATACACCAAACTGACCCAACATATCACATAGAGCGAACAGGAACGAAGTACGAGTGAAATATGATCGTGCATACGCTATGTGACCGTTATTGGGTGCATACGATGCCAAAGAATCATTAGGTGCCGTAATTTCTTTTCTATGATGAGAAAACAAAACTGTGTAAGTCTAAAACGCAACCAATGAAAGTAGCTTCCTAGCCTACATGACAGAGTGCACGGACATCTGTCAGGAGAAAACTCTGACACATCCCACACAGAGCCAGAACGTAAAGTGCAGAAAAAGTATCAAATCTGCTCGCAGACGTTCTAGATGTGACATAAATGAACTAAATTCGTTAAAAGCCTTCACGAAAACCGTGTTTCAAGGGAGATCGCCAGGGAATATTAGAGGCTTCGTAGCTGATCCTTTGACACACTCAAAACGAAAAGATTGCGCACAATCGGTGTAAACCTGAAACTGTGAAGTCAAAAACGCACTCTACTTTCAATCATCGAGTCCTTACCTTCAAATGTCGGGAGAGAAACAGATTTTCTTGAAAAGGAGATTTATGATGAAGCGCACAGTAAAGGACCGACGTTATTTTGTTTTCAGCACGGCCACCATGACCATCCCTTTTTGCGTGGAAAAGATGTGAAAATCGGGGAGGCAGTGATGACGCTGATTGGCGGAAGTTCAAACGCGGCGGGATTGGTGCCCTTCTCAAGATGTCTTGACGACGCACTTTTCGCCAAATTTCGTTCCAGTAACGTTTCAATCAGCTGTACGAACGCAGCTGGTCGTTTCATGTTCTTGTCATGCAAATTACGAAACAGTTCCTCGAAAATTATCGAAAGTTCACATGTTCTACGTAGGTTAAGACGTCCATTAGAAGATATTGAAGGTGAAGCTGCGACAGAAACCTGGCAGTAACGTGAATTAAACCAATTTTCTGAAATAAGGAACGTCCGTGCACGATTCTGTTAATACTTTCACGTCATTAACTGATGCTTATTGACAGGTCAACAAAATGACCACCATCTGATCAAAACATTCATTCATTCATGTTTGGGATGTGTAATTTTTCATACCGGCTAGAAACAAAAGAGTTGTGAGTGTGTTAGTGACAGTTCTTGTTGGTCGCTGGTAGGGAAATCATCATTCACCATGGTGCTTGAAAGTACTATGATTTGGTAAGATTTGACAATGAAATTCTTTCAACGCAGTGCATGCTAATGCATATTGTTTTAAAAAAATATTCGATCGGTGGGGCTCAAAAAACGGAGTAGGTCGTCGTCGTCTGTGGCACAGTGAGGTTATCGTACCAGCCTTTCTGATGACAAAGCATATTATTTATGTCTTTCGTTCAATTTTTCGACCCTTCACCTCCAAAACGACTGAACTGTTTTATTCAGTTGAATTTGCGGTTAGCGGCTTTCTCTCACAGCGATTGGTTCACTTAGGCCAACAGATAGAGAGTGTTCTACACATTTGTTATTGGTTGGATGAGTGCTCTTTGTTAATAGTTTCAATGAAGTGAAAATGTTTTTTCACTCAATTTGATTAGTTTCTCATCCAACCTGCTTTCAGTCAGATGTATTGCCCTATTCTTTCATGTGGATACATTTTTACTTACGTGTTTGATCTATTTCAGTGTTGACAACAGCGATTTCATGAGAAATGGAGACTTTCTGCCAACTCGGCTGCAAGCTCAACAGGATGCAGTGAACCTAGTTTGTCATTCCAAGACTAGGAACCCTGAGAATAATGTTGGACTCCTCACGTTGGCAAAGTACGTTCAGAACCATTCATTGACACTCTAATGACATGCATTATCATTGATTGACTGATTTACTTCTTTCCTCTCCTCTCCTCTTGTTTGCAGTGTTGAAGTGCTGGCCACCCTCACATCTGATGTCGGACGCATTCTGTCAAAATTGCATCAGGTTCAACCTAATGGATCCATGAACTTGCTGACTGGCATTCGTATTGCCCATGTAGGTGTTCTGTTCAGCTTAAATCAACTATTTTAGAAGTGAGTGTCTCTGACCCGCTTGTTTGTTGCAGTTGGCGCTGAAGCATCGTCAAGGCAAGAACCACAAGATGCGGATTGTAGTCTTTGTTGGAAGCCCCATCACCGCTGATGAGAAGGACCTAGTAAAGCTTGCAAAACGTCTGAAGAAAGAAAAAGTCAATGTTGATCTTGTTAGTTTTGGAGAGGAACTCTCAGTAAGTTTTATATTAAAGTCTTTACCAAGTGTATTAGGAACAACTGCTTTTGTTCTGATCTATCTAACATACTGTTTGAAAAAAATTTCAGAACAATGAAATGCTTACTACCTTCGTCAATACCCTGAATGGCAAAGATGGCTCTGGAAGCCACCTTGTGAGCGTTCCTCCTGGTCCCCATCTATCTGATGCTCTCATCTCCTCTCCTGTCATACAGGTTAGTTGAGCTTCCACCTTTTCTGAGTGAGAATTTCCTTTTTATTTGTTGAGTGCTGTTCTTAAATTGATGATTTCTTCCAGGGTGAGGATGGCACAGGCGGTGCTGGTTTGGGTGGAGCTGGCTTTGAATTTGGAGTGGATCCTAATGAGGACCCTGAACTGGCTTTGGTAAGTGTTAGCCTTTCCTTTTTTTTCTTTTTTTTCTTCTTTCTCTCCCTCTTATTAATACTTAAAGTTTGTCGTAAATACAAAAATTTTCCTTTGTTTTAAGTTTGTCTTACAACCATCCTTCTCTCTTTTGCAGGCCCTCCGTGTCTCCATGGAAGAACAGCGCCAAAGGCAGGAGGCCGAGACTCGCAGAGCTATGGCTGCTTCTGAAGGATCAACTCCTGTGCCTGCCACTATCAAGGAGGGTAAGGCTGCATCTTGTTACTCAAACAAACAGAGGTAGTGTTGTCTATAATTTATGCCTGACATTAATTTTTTTTGTCTTTTGTCAATCAAGTTCCCAATGAAGAGGCTATGCTGGAGCAAGCTTTGGCTATGTCCATGGAAGTTGAAGATGACACCAGCGCTGGAGCAGCTCAGCCAGACATTGCAAGCATGACTGAGGAGGAACAGATTGCCTTTGCCATGCAAATGTCCATGCAGGATGCCAGTGAGTACTTAACAAATATAACAAAGGGGGACCAATCTCCCAAGTCTATCCTTTGATACATCTTTAATCGGTTTTATTACACCAAATTACAGAAGACATGGCTGACCCTGACAAGGCAGGTGGTAAACCAAAAGCAGCAGCAGAGAGCATGGATGTTGATGGTGAAGAAGATTTAGCAGAGGTTATGAATGATCCTGCCTTCCTTCAAAGTGTTTTGGAAAATCTTCCTGGAGTTGACCCCCAGAGCGAGGCTGTGCGCCAAGCTGTAGGTTCACTTTCCAAGGATAAAGAAAAGCAGGAAAAGGACAAGAAAAAGGATGGAAAGTAGGTTATTTTTTCTATTGTATTATATCTTTTAAAACTGATTCATACTGAATGTGAATAGTGAAGAGAAAAAGCAGAGAAGCTCAGGAAATTATTATCATAGCTTTGGAATGATGTCTTTTGTGCTGTATCTAAATGCTGGAACTAATCTTTCACCATTGCTACATCTAGTGTTTTGTAAAATTAGTACATGTTGGCCTGTAAGGAAAATTAAATATGTTTGTCACAACATTATTTTTTCTGGGTCTGTTTTTTATGCATTTTTAATCCCAAACCCTTGACATTGCTTTGTCATAAGCCATAAAATATACTGATTTCAATGACACCGTACAGGTCGAAACCTAAACCACTGCCCAAGATTTATTTCGACAAATATTGAGCAGGTCGAAAGGGTTGCCTACCACGCAGGCGGCAACCGCCTGGAGCGGGACCGCCCAGTAGGTAGGCAGCCCATTGGACACTACACCTTACCGCCTCAGTGCCCTCACGGACGGACGCACTTGTCATTTGCCCAAGATCGTTCAATTGACCACCAAACTGAAATCACCGTTTCGAATTATCAGAATTTGCTTCCTCAACGTTCCAGTCGAGCTTTAAAAACCAGTCGCACCCATGTGTGCGTGCATGTATGTGTGTTTAAAAACTATTAAAAGCTATGGAAAAGGCACGAACGCAAACCGAGGAAAAGTTTGGGGGTGGGGGCGTGTCAGTGCAAATACACACCTCACCCGTCTGGCGGGGCCGAGCCGGACCGCCGTCGTCGACGGGGACGTGGCGTGGCGGCCAGGCCTCTAGTGGCGGCCAGTGCCGTGGCAGCTGTCATAATCATGGCGAGAATGACCGGGTCGCGGTGGTGAGGGCCGGGCAGGCCGGCCGGCCCCTGACTCCTGGGCCTCATGGCGAGGCCGGGGCCGCCACATCCAGGGGCCGGGCTGCCGGGCTGGACCAGGGCCTCTACGTCCAGCGGCCGCCGCCGCCTCCTCTCTTCGCGTCCACTCTCCACTCGGCCCTGCCACTCGGCCCTGCGACGCCGCGGCGGCCGGCCCGGCGACGCGCGACGCGGTGCCGCGGTGCCCATCCAGACCCTAAGCCCTAAGCTCAATCGGAACACCGGAAGCCTCTCGTTTGTTGCCTGATATGAGCCCAGGCAGTGTCGCCCAGTGTCGCCTCCTATCTGCCCCCCGGGCCTATTCCTTGATTCCTTGTACCCGGTCCAGGCAGCCCAACGGCCAACGCGGCGACATGCTGGCGGTGGTATGGCCTCCAGCGCGACCTCCACCAAGGCGTTGGTGGGGCGAGGACCGCAGGCGCCCGCGATGGTACTTCCCTCAAACACCACACTGGCGCTGAAGAGAACGTAGCCGACACTTAGTCGCTGTTCGTACAATCGATGTGGCTCTCTTCGATTCTTGCCCGTAGAGCTGCTCCACTTTGGGGGCTCCGCGGCGCCGGTCTGCTGTCGGCAGGGCAGCCTGCTGCTGAGTGCGTCCACGTCAGCGCTGAGTGCCACCGGCCAGATTGTAGTGGATGGCCGGCCTCGTTACTCAACGGATTCCGTGGTGTAGCGGTTATCACATCTGCCTAACACGCAGAAGGTCCCCAGTTCGATCCTGGGCGGAATCACATTTTCGCTCGCTGTTCGGGAATCGTTTGCGAGCTTTCATGCCTTCCCCGTGTGGCGACTTTTTATTTTTGAGAGGAAACGAAGAGAAGAGACGCATCGCGCCTGAGATAAAATTATAGCCTTCATTGTCATTGGTTTCCCTTTTGTGGTGGTTGGACACTTTATCCTATGCCTCAGGAAAATCTGGGGTTGGTGCGGGTTATCTTGAATGAATTATCATGACGCAGAGTACAAAGTGATGCAAGCTGGATGCAGAATTTCTTTATCCACGCCTGCCTACAAATCTGTCCCAAAGATTAATTATGTTATGTAGGAAAATGAAATAAAATTGTGCTTTTACTCTTCTTCAAAAATTTACTGCATCGGCCGGGAATCGAACCCGGGCCGCCCGCGTGGCAGGCGAGCATTCTACCACTGAACCACCGATGCTTCGTACAACTCAGAGCGATAACTTTCGTGCACTCTGTAGAAGGCACGCACTATCGCGGCGGAAAAAGATTGCATCGGCCGGGAATCGAACCCGGGCCGCCCGCGTGGCAGGCGAGCATTCTACCACTGAACCACCGATGCTTCATGTATGCGTTGGCAGTACACCAACCAAGACTAGCAGCAAGCGAAGAGGAGATGCCGAGTCCGCGTTTCCCTTTCATAGCCAGGTAAGCGCCCGCCTCGCCGCGGAGTGGACGACGGCGGGGAGCCGCGGGGGGAGCGACCCGCCGAGCAGGTCGGCGTGGTGGTCGTCGTGGCATTCGCCGGCCGGCCGTTTGGGACGGACGGTGGAGGCGCCTCGGAGACGTCCCTGCCCCCCCCCCTTTCCCCCTCCTCCCCCGCATCAGGGCTTACAATACCCCGCGGGACCTTCGCAGAACTTCGGAAGCCGCCGTGCCGAATCTACGAATCGCCGAATCTCGGCCGAGCGAGCGAGCGAGCGACCACGTGGCGGTGGCGCCCTGGCGCCGTGGCGCCTAGCGGCCGGCAGCAAACAAAAATTGACCTTTGGCAGCCCTGAAAAATGGAAAGGTTGGCCGCAGCGGTCAAGTGGGTCAGTGCGGAGTCGCAGAGTCTCGCGCTGGGATTTTAATCCGAGGCACGCACGGCCATTAGACCATCTGATTCGATTAACAGATTACGTACTACGTTAGAACAGTGCAACATTGTGCGCGGCGCGGTCAGTCGTGACGTCATCGGGCTCTGATAGCGAGCATGCCCAGTCCAGAGTGCACGCGGCCGTGTTCCAGGACAGCTGCTCGCGCGCCACGAAAGTGCACCGAGTGCACCTCAGCATGCGTGCGTGTGGGTGGGCGCGCGGCGTGGTGCACTTCCTCGACGGCGTGCTCGGCGCTCGGCGTCGCGGTCCTCGTCGAGCACGCCAAGCAGGCCGAGCACGTCCCGGAGACGGCGCATGGCGCCACTCGTCACCAAGGAGGCGCTTTTTGCCGGTTTTTGGGGCCACCGTGGACGCCGCACCTGCACGCCGCACCGGCGACACCGGCCAGCTGTGTTTGGGAGTCGAGCGGAGCAGCGCAGGTCCGCGCCAAGCCGACGCGTGCGACGCGTGCGGCCGGTGGCCGCGCCGAGCCGGAGCCACCCGAACATAGCCGAGCCGGCAGCCGAGTGGTGGTCCGCGGCAAGACTCCGCGCGTCCCGCGTTGAGCGAGCACGCCGCGCGCAGCGTAGCGTATTTCACTTCGTCGGCCACCGGGAGTCGTTGGTCTCGTCTCGTTGCTGTTGCTCAGCTTAGCCGCCAGAGTCGTGTTTAGAGGCGCGCCGGTGCCGGTGGAGGAGGAGCAGTGCGACCCGAGTGCGACGTGACGAGGTCCTTGTGCGGGGCGTCGAAACGGTCGAAACGCCGCAGCACGCCGCGACGTCCTTGTCCTCGTGGACCGCTGGAACGCGAGTGCAGTTCGAGGCAGCAGGCCGAGCACGGCGTCGACGCCGAGAACCGCACGTGGGAGCACACCTGCGAGGCGTCGAGAAGCTGATCCGTCCACGTCCATGATCAGGTGGGTGCGCTTGGTTCGAGTCGCGGAGGAGGAAAGGTAGCACGGGCGTTGCCCAACTGGGCGTTAGGGTGGGTCAGGTGTCACGGGCACTGCTAACTAGTTCTTCTGCGCACCGCAAGGAGGAGGCCGTCTCCGAGGTCCACGATGTCCCCGCGGCTTCGGTAACCAGCACACGGGCCTTCTGCCCCCACGCTGGATGAGCGAGATCTCTGCGCACTGGACGACCCCTAGGGTAGTCCGGCCCGAGGCTAGAGGCCTGGGGAAGGGCGAGGGTGGGGAGAGGTTGGCGGTCGCCTCGGTCCAGGTGGAGCAGCCCTGCCAGCCCTGCCAGCCCTGTCACGTGGGTCGTAGGGCCGGCCGGCGGCGGCCGTGGAGGCGCGGCGGAGAGGGGCATGGTGGCGGCAAGGCTCGCGGTGAGGCCCGCGGGCCGCCGGTTACATCACCCAAACTCCAAACCGAAGCGACGCCGCCCGCCCCACCCCACCTCCGCGAATATCACTGGCCGGAGCCTGGACCGGCAAAAGATTCCGATGCTCCTAGGCCAGGCCCGGGAGACAAATAGTAGTCACCCGGGCAGCTGCCGCTGGACCGAGAGAGAAGAGAGGGGACGGACGACAGACACCCCGGTCACCATGGTGCTGTATCATTGGAAACTCACTGGACTGCCACTGAATCGAGGCAACACGACGCCGCGTTGAAACGATCCAACTGCTTGTTATGATTTCCTTCCCACTTTTCCCTCCCCCTGTTGACTGGAAGTGGTGAAGAAAGTGGGAGGGAAGGCTCCCCCCCCCCCCCCCGGTGCAGCCTGCCGCCCCTTACCGCCGTAACTCCGAGGCCGCGCGTCGCAGCTACGGTGTTCTTGTTCGGTATTCAAATTAGCCGCGCCTTACCTGCTCCGGGTGGCAGTCTCCAGGTCTCCAGCATTGTCCGATGACGGGAAAGGGCGAACGCATAGCGGCGCAGCTCCCCTTTCAAACGCTTTGTTAGCACAAGAGGACGGCACAGTTTTGCCGCTGCTCTGCTTGCTCGAAACAAGGAGGAAGAGAAGGAGAAAAAGAAGAGGAAGGAGGAGGAGGCGGGAGACTGAACTCCCGTCATCCCCTGTCGCAGAGGAGACGATTGTGACCTTGTTGGGGGCCAGGCGGCCTCCCGTCGCCGTTCCGTTGGAGGGGGAGGGGAAGGGGGTTATTGAAGTACAATGCCCCCTTTTCCGCAGCCGTCCCATTTTGGACGCATTTAAGTTGGTATCATGGGAAGCCTGGCAGCATAACCCGTCCCCGAGTAAAAGCGAAAGGCTCTTGAGGTTGACAGAGCCGCTGTTGAAAATGCAACCTTGAACCGTGGAAGTTTAGCCCACTCCGCGCACGGCTCGCACGGCGCGCCAAAACGCACGCGTTCAGTGCCTGATAAGCATGTGTGAGCGGAAGGCAGCACGTCTCGACATTTCGGTCGCCCCGCGACAAGAAATTTGCCACCTCAAATGATAGTCGTGCTTTGCCTGCCAACGCTAGACGCGACTGCGAGATAAGGCTGCACCCTACACTACAGTTTCGGTATACGTACCGCAAAGCTATAGCTTAGCGCCAGACGCCTTACGCCACACCTCCCCAGACGAGAGCTCTTTCAACATAACTGTAAATATTAAGTAAACTTGACTTGAATGAAGAACTTATAGGGAGCTCTCTCAGTCAAAATGTCACTTTACTGGGAAAATCAACCAAGTTGTAGTCGATTTGACTCGACTTTTCGCACAGTGCATGCGTGCTCTGCTCGCCAGCAATTTCTCTCCATTTGCCATAGGCTACACTTGCAGGATTGCCCCCTCAAGGCCCCAGCCACGTGCAGCGTCGTGCAGCCGAGCTCGACGCGGCCGAGTCTCGCGCCAAACTCGCCTTCGGACCAAACCGTCGACTCATCAGTGGTTTGAATAAGCGCAGCTTACAATAGCGAGACAATACAGTGGCGCGCCCGTCCGTCCCGTCCCACGTCGCTCAGTGCATGTGCACGAGGCAACAGGTGGCGCTGCGAGCGGCACTTCCCCGCAATAAACGTCGCCGGGCGGTGCCAAAATGCTAAAATGGTGGCGCAGCGAGAACTCAGCCTTACATTGTGGCACCGGGGTTTCGCGCGCAACCGGTCTAACATTGTTTGGAAGTGCTCGCGTAAAGTAGTTTTCCACCTGCGCGGACACACTGAAGTTTGACTTGATTTGACCGAATTCTTGGAGTCCATCCACAACTCTGACATAGTGTGCAAGTCATCTTACAACTCTTCTTTCTTCCTTCCCTGACATAGTGCCCCGCAAGGGGCTGGTTTTCGCACTGTGCTCGAGGAATTCCCCCTCCCCTCCCCCTCGCCCTCTCGGGTTCTGATAACGCTGACCATGAATACCATGCACATGGTACGCAGTCCTGGTTGTGGCGAGGCGGTGCCCCGTCGCGCACGGCCACAAAATGTGTCATCTCGTCTCGTAGGAAAGCGCGGTGCGGCCGCGTGGTTCGGCCGACCTAGAGTCCGAATCCCTGTCGCCATCCAATAAACCGGGAAAATATTTGAGCGCGCGTGGCGACGTCACGGCGGAGGGGGAGGAGGAGAGGGAGGGCTGGGGGCGGGGGCGTCCACGCCGCACACGTGGGGGCCGAACTAGCGCGGCGGCGGCGTGGCGGCGCGGCCCTCGACACGAAACGCGAATCGCGCGGCGTAGCGGTCAGCCGCAGACGGCGTCGCGACGGCCCCCGCGAACCTCGTGGTGGTGGTCGTGGACGCCGACGAGCGGGCCGACGGCGGCATGGTGGAGCGCGGCGGCCATTGACGGCGGCGTCCTGGCAGTGCGAGTCCGGCCGTCCGGCCGTCCGGTCCCCGAAAGCGCGATGGGTGAGTGACAGGTCGCGGGAAGGCCAGCATCATGGAGTCCACGGCCGGCCACGGTCCTGCCGCCGGGTCCTGCGCGCGGTTTCCCCGGCCTGGCCGAGGGCCTGCCCGTCCTCGTCCCGGTAGCGGCGTAGCAGGCGTAGCGGCGACATGGCGAGGGTGCGGGTGACTTCCTGACAGCGCGACAAGTGACGAGATAACGACCAGGACATAGTCTCCCCTCCCAGTGCCGCCACCACCGCCGCCGCCGCTGTGCGTTGGCGACGCGTGCACGCCGCCCGCCGCGCCGACACGGAGGACGACGGCGTGGTCGCGTGCTCCAGCCCCGCGTGCGCGTCCTCGCCGTCCTCGCCGAGACCATAGCAGGGTAGTTTTCCCGTCTCGTATCGAACGCGGCGCAGCGCGGTGCGGCGTCTGCTGTCCGCGGCACGGCGCGTCAAGTTACAGAGGGGCACAGGCTGACAAGAACAACAATGCCGAGGTCGGAGGGGCCGGAGGGGTGGCGACTCCAGTGGTGACCGCAGCACGCAGCACGACACGCTGGGGGAGCCGTCGCAGCGTGTCACAGCGCCCAGCAACCCCGCCGCCCCTTTGTCGTTCGCGGGGGGTGGCGGCGGTCGCGAGGCGGCCGTTGCCGCGTTGCGAAAGCGGTTCTTGTTCTTGTGCAGCGATCGGGTTGGGCCGCGCGGGCAGGCCGGCCAGGGCGGCCAGGTCGCGGAATGGCGGAGTGCGGCCAGGGAGGCGGGGAGGCGTGAGGCGGGGCAGGGGGGAGCGATATGGCAGGAAATGTAAGTTAGCGCTCAGTCCGCCGCGGGGAGGAGCCGCTGTGTGTGAGAGTGGCGACAGTGTGCGAGCTGCCTGTGTGTGAGTGTCTGTGTGTGTGTGTGTGTGTGTGCGCGCGCTTGAGTAGTTAGGGATACATCGAAGTTGTGTTGTCCGCCTGGACAATGTGACGACGCAATGTGGCGTGGTGGAGACGCGCGCCGAGGGTGGCGGAGGGGGTGGGGAAGTCCCTGCGTAGCTCTGCTTAGCGCGTCCAGGTGAGTGAAGGAAGGGTGGGGTGAAATGCCTGGAGATGCTTCTCAGCGCCCAAGCGGTCTGTCGGTCTGTCTGTCTGTCTGTCTGTCTGTCTGTCTGTCTGTCTGTCTGTCTGTCTGTCTGTCTGTCTGTGTGTTGCTGACTTCCCTCTAGCGTGACGTGAGCCGCGGTTCGGCGTGGATTTGTGACGTCGCCGTCCCTCCCCAGGAGGAGCTGGCCGCTGGCCGTGTGTGCCTGGGGGTGGGGGTGGGGGTGGGACTGACCGCGTGGCCTGGGTTCCCACCGGGGCGCCGTGGAGGGCGACGCACAAGGGCTTCCCGCGTCCTGTCAAAAGTCAGATTAAGACTGCCCACCAAACTTCACCCTCCAAAAATAAATTCCGGAACGGCGGAGCGATCGAGCCCGTATGCCGCATGCCAGTGTCCGTGCCCCTCCCCCAGTGGGCACGCGCATCCCCCCGCACGGCCTAATACAAGGGCGAGGGTGCCGGATCACGCCGCCGATAAGCCCAACGCTATCACGTCGTAATTGTGTCGTGAAGCGAGACGCCCCGCCCCGCCCCGCCCCGCCCCGCCCCGCCCCGCCCCGCCCCGCCCCGCCCCGCCCCGGACACTCCGGACAGCCCTGGGCCCCACGCCGGTCACCGAACGCGTCTGTGTTGTCTTTCGGAAAGCAAATCATTTTGTTTGTCTGTGCAGGTGATCCCGCGGACATGGGTCGGAAGGTGGTCCCCGTGATGAAGCCGGCCGAGAGGATGGCCCACGAGGGCCTGGTGCCCGCCAGGGAGGCTGACTCGGGGTCTGTGGTGAGTGCTCCGAAACCGTAGCGCCCCCGACGTCCAATATCTTCTGAAAGAGGAAAAGCAGTAAAACTTGTTATTTGAACCAGGGTGGCGGAGTCAAGCTGCGCAAGGAGCTGGGCCTGCTGGACGGCGTGGCCATCATCGTGGGCGTCATCATCGGCGCGGGCATCTTCGTGTCCCCCAAGGGCGTGCTGCAGAACTCCGGCTCCATCGGCGTGTCCCTGCTCGTGTGGGTCCTGTGCGGCGGACTCAGCCTCATGGGCGCGCTGTGCTACGCCGAGCTGGGCACCATGATCCCCCGCTCTGGCGGCGACTACGCGTACATCGGCGAGGCGTTCGGGCCGCTGCCGGCCTTCCTGTACCTCTGGGTCGCCCTGTTCGTCATCGTGCCGACGGGCAACGCCATCACCGCGCTCACCTTCGCGCAGTACATCCTGCAGCCCGCGTGGCCCACGTGCGAACCGCCCGACGAGGTGATCCGCCTCATCGCCGCCGTCGTCACCTGTAAGTCCACCCCCACGGCCATTCTGTTACAAAGTTTGACGCGTTCTAACCCGGCCGGCTCGATTGCCCAGGCGTGCTGACCGCCATCAACTGCTACAACGTCAAGTGGGCGACGCGCGTCCAGGACCTGTTCACGGGCACCAAGCTGCTGGCCCTCGTCGTCATCGTCCTGGCCGGGCTGTACGCGCTGGGCGCCGGCAAGACGGAGAACCTGCAGCAGCCCTTCAAGGGCACCATCACGTCGCCGGGCTACATCGCGCTCTCCTTCTACTCGGGGCTGTTCTCGTACGCGGGCTGGTGAGTGTTAGGCACGTTCGGCATTCCCTGGCACGACCAGGCCAGCGATCTGACCTTGTTTCATTGTACAGTGTCTGAGGCGCCGGCCTGGATTTGTGTATCTCAGCTAAGTTTGTTCCCTCCACGTTGACAGGAACTACCTGAACTTCGTGACGGAGGAGCTCAAGGACCCTTACCGCAACCTGCCGCGCGCCATCTGCATCTCCCTCCCGATGGTCACCATCATCTACGTGCTGGCTAACATCGCCTACTTCGTGGTGCTCACTCGGGACGAGCTACTGTCGTCCAACGCCGTCGCCGTGGTGAGTCGCCGCGCACTGGCCGCTCGCGATTTCTCATTCTCGAACCCCCACTAACATCGCCACCGCTCTGCCTCACAGCTGTTCGGGGAGAAGATGCTGGGCGTCATGTCGTGGACCATGCCGGTCTTCGTGGCGTGTTCCACGTTCGGCGCCCTCAACGGCGCCATCTTCGCGTCGTCGCGCCTCTTCTTCGTGGGCGCGCGCCAGGGCCACCTGCCCGCCGCCATCGCCCTCATCAACGTCAAGAGGCTCACCCCCGTGCCCTCCCTCATCTTCCTGGTGAGTGTGGCGCCAGAGTCGCGGAAATGTGACGACGGTGTGTCACGGTCTCACGAGACACTGCGTGCCGCGCCCCGGCTATCGGCACCCGTGAGCACTGAGCACACAGTGGAGGCCGGGCGGAGGCCCTAAGTCGGCACGCGCGGTACGTTTCCGCGTTTCTGTTTTGGGAACAGCTGGAACCGTCCAGAGCCCTGGCCGGCCGAGGGCAGTGCACCGGCACTTCGCCTGTCACGCCGCCTGTCTCTCTCGCACCTCACGGCAGTGCTAAATGGACGAGAGAGACAGAGCAAAGGCCCATTTCCCTGAATCGGAAGCACTCCACTTTTTGCGGAGTTTCCTCACGAGTGGTTGGTCCGCGCGTCCGCGCTATTTCACGCTCAGCTGGCGGCGGAAAGTGTCACCGTGGTTTTTGTTTTCGTTGCAGTGCATCATCACCCTGGTGCTGCTCGTCATCAAGGACGTGTACGTGCTCATCAACTACGTGAGCTTCGTGGAGTCGTTCTTCACGCTGGTGTCCGTCACCGGGCTGCTGTACATGCGCTACTCCAAGCCCGACCTGCACCGGCCCATCAAGGTGAGCCTGGCGTCGAATGGGTTGCCTACCCCGCCCCCCGACGGGCGGCGATAGGCAACTCTTCCAGCACCAACGCATCCATGTCTGACCGCGCGCGTCGCGTTCCAGGTGAGCATCATCCTGCCCCTGGTCTTCTTCGTCATCTGCACGTTCCTGGTCACGCTGCCCATCTACGTGTCCCCCGTGGAGGTGGGCGTGGGCGTGGCCATCATCCTGGCCGGCATCCCCGTCTACTTCGTCTTCATCCACTGGCAGAACAAGCCGCAGTGGCTCACCAGGTCGTCGCGTGAGTATCCCGCACCTCCGACAACCATTCCATTCCATTCATGTCGCCGCCAATGTGCAAAATGAAAATTGGCCGTTTTGTTTTGGTTTTGCAGACGCGTTCAACACGACTTGCGCCAAGCTGTTCGAGTGCGTCCTGGAGGACGAACGGTGATGCCCGGATGCCCGCCGCCGTGCGTCCCACTGGCTGTGTTTCTGGTTGCCATTCCAGTCGCGCTCTCGCTCTGTTCAAGCTTGGCCTAGGCCTTGGCCTTGGCGCTCGCCCGAAAGCTCCGAACGCCGTGCAAGCCGTCTTTGCGGAGGGGGGGACCGGCGACAACGTTCAGACCGCTGCCATCTTCCGGAAAGGAAGTTCACCTGTGATACACGTAGCTTGACCGAGAATACTAAGGAACGTCAGGGTATTTGAAAATGTTCATGTTGCTTCAGCGCCATGCAGAGGAAGTGGACCAAGGAGGCGAACTTCTCCTTACTTTGGAGGCGTCGCACCAAAATTTGACCCAGCAGTGGTTCATACTTTTTTGTTGGTTTGGGGAATGTTACTTTATTTTTAGTACACACACTTATGTTGATATGCTATGCTTTATTTATTTTTGTGCATTAGACTAGTCATAATTTGGCTAACTAGTTCCTCCTAAAAGTTAGTAAAACAGTTGTGTATATTCAGGTTTATCGCTGTTAATTACCTTCGAAAGTGAAGCATATCTAATCACATATGTAGAATCAAGCAAAGTACCTCCATGCGTAAAAAAAAAAGTTTCAATTACATTCGAGCCTTTATTTATTATTTACCTTACAGATGTTTTATGTTGATGTAAGGCGTATTGAATTAAGATTATATAGTATGTATTTATTTGTGTAAAGCCATACAACGGCGCAAAATACTTCTAATTTTATGGAATTAATTATAAAAAGAAGTGTGTCCTCGTACATCACTGTCACTTGTACAAAACGTTTATTGTGGCTGCTAGACCCCTACTTTGTACATATTCGATTAATTTTTCTACGTCGGGCGTTTTATAGAGTATGTGAATGAATAGGTTTAAGATGTTTTTAAGATGTTACAATTATAAATGGCATCATTGCGACCAATAAATCCAGTGTCAAAGGCGCCGTGTCAGTTCTTTTCTTGTGCGCACAGCCGCCGGCTGGGTAGGCAACCTAATCGTCACGTTTGTTTAGGAGTGCTAACCGAGCTAATGCTGTCATGAATACAATGCGTTTTCGTCATAGTCGCATCGTGAGAGATTTTAGAGTGCGTCCCGGTCAGAGAGACCGCCTTTACTTTATGAGTCGTAGATATCCGTAGGCGAGGGGGGAGCGGGGCAGGGTCACCAACGTAATATCCTCCACCCATGCGCCGGCCTGCCGGGCACAGCCTGGGGGAAATCCCCTTATCAGGTTGGTTGCAGTGCGAGCCGCGACACACCCGCACCGCGCCGGACCGTTCGTTGAAAACTGTTTCGGTGATCGCCTCGCGGCCCTCTCCCAAATTGGGTCAGGGATCGGGGTCAGGGACCCTTCCGAAGGACGAGTTGGACAGGCCGCCGGCACGGCCGCGCGTCTCCTCTTCTAGTGTCGACTAGAGTGTCGACTAGTGGGAGGGACCCGGACGCGACGCGGTGCCGCGGTGCTTGTTGCTCCTCTGGATGGCAGGCAGGAGGCAGGCAGCGGTGTGGCGGCGGCGTAGTCCTGCCAACAAAAAGCACTTGTCCAGTTGAAACGAGACTCGAGCACCGCCGAAATGTTCAGGCTGACAGGCGTATGAGAAATCTGCGTGTCTTCGCCCGTCCACCGCGAAGAGCAGCCTGCTTCACAGTCCAGTCTGTTGGTGCTTCACGACGGGGGAACTGGAAGCCGTGTGCCCGGAGAATCAGTCTTTGGAGATACCACACTTACGGCCCGGAATCATCTTCAGAGGGTAATGGTGGTTACGCTGCTGTCGAGGCGACGTCGCAGTGTGTTATAGTGTTCGATAGTTTATTGTTCCCATCCAAACGGCTTTCTGAATCCGACTCACTTTTAATTTCCCTTTCTCTACTCTCTCAAGCTCGTGCTCACGATGAGCCTCGCCAATTCGACCCAGAATATAGTCGGTGAGGACTCCGTCAACGCCGAGCAGACCAGCAGCGATGAACCTCAGGCTCAGGCGAGTGACCCCGGAGGAACTGCCCCCTTTACTCCACCTGTTACTGTCGTGTAGGCGTAAACTCGCGCTCTCTCCTATCGATCCTCAAGAAAGTCTGCCCAAGACCATCACCACGTACATGCCCTCGCTGCAGGTCGGCGGCGTCCAGCTTCGCAAGGAGCTGGGCCTGCTGGACGGCGTGGCCATCAACGTGGGCGTCATCATCGGCGCGGGCATCTTCGTGTCCCCCAAGGGCGTGCTGCAGTACACGGGCTCCATCGGCCTGGCCCTGCTCGTGTGGGTCCTCTGCGGCGGACTCAGCCTGGTCGGCGCGCTGTGCTACGCCGAGCTGGGCACCATGATCCCCCGCTCTGGCGGCGACTACGCGTACATCGGCGAGGCCTTCGGCGCGCTGCCGGCCTTCCTGTACCTCTGGGTCTCCTTGTTCATCATCGTGCCGACGGGCAACGCCATCACCGCGCTCACCTTCGCCGAGTACATCCTGCAGCCCGCGTGGCCGACCACGGCGCCGCCCGACGCGGTGCTGCGCCTGGTCGCGGCCGCCGTCACCTGTACGTCATGCAACCAACTCCGCGCCTCTCAGGTACGGCAAACCCGCCGCTTACCCTTCTCCCCTGCCCAGGCGTGCTGACCGCCATCAACTGCTACAACGTCAAGTGGGCGACGCGCGTCCAGGACCTGTTCACGGGCACCAAGCTGCTGGCCCTCGTCGTCATCGTCCTGGCCGGGCTGTACGCGCTGGGCACCGGCAAGACGGAGAACCTGCAGCAGCCCTTCAAGGGCACCATCACGTCGCCGGGCTACATCGCGCTCTCCTTCTACTCGGGGCTGTTCTCGTATGGGGGCTGGTTAGTCTTCAGAGTTGTTGGTATGCCCTGCTTCAGGTATGCGACTAGAAACAAGGGTTCGGGAGCAGAAGCGCCGCACAGTTGTTGAGGTTGGCAGTCTCATATTGTCTGCGTTTTACTATCTCGGACTTCGATCGGATCACGCCTGTAGAGCCTCAAGCTTTAACATTTTAAGCGTCTAAGAACGCGACTGAGGACTCCTTTGGTGTGCACAGGAACTGCCTCAACTTCTTGACGGAGGAGCTGAAGGACCCACACCGCAACCTGCCCCGCGCCATCTGCATATCCCTCCCGACGGTCACCGTCATCTACGTGCTGGCCAACATCGCCTACTGCGTGGTGCTCACCCCGTCGGAACTGCTTTCCTCGAGCGCCGTCGCGGTGGTGAGTCCCCGAGTCCAAGTGCGCGCCGCGCCGCCGCCGCTCGTAGTCGAACCCGGGACTCACGCGCGCTCTCCGGCCAACAGCTGTTCGGGGAGAAGATGCTGGGCGTCATGTCGTGGTCCATGCCGGTCTTCGTGGCGTGCTCCACGTTCGGCGCCCTCAACGGCTGCATCATGTCGTCGTCGCGCCTCTTCTTCGTGGGCGCGCGCCAGGGCCACCTGCCCGCCGCCGTCGCCCTCATCAACGTCAAGAGGCTCACCCCCGTGCCCGCCCTCCTCTTCCTGGTGATCAGAGCTCGTCGCTGACTTGCCGCAAATTGGCAGGCAAATTTTTGAATATATGATGCTTGTTTTTCTCAGTGCCTCCTGACGCTGGTGCAGTTCGTCATCAAGGACGTGTACGTGCTCATCAACTACGTGAGCTTCGTGGAGTCGTTCTTCACGCTGGTGTCCGTCACCGGGCTGCTGTACATGCGCTACTCCAAGCCCGACCTGCACCGGCCCATCAAGGTGAGCCTTCTGCCCGTCGTCCCGGCCAGGTCCGGTCGGCGCACCAAGGCCTGGGGGCAGCTGCAGCGCTGACCGCGCGCTCCTATTCCAGGTCAACACCATCCTGCCCATCGTCTTCTTCGTCATCTGCGTGTTCCTCGCCGTGCTGCCCGTCTACGTCACGCCCTGGGAGGTCAGCATCGGCGTGGCCATCGTCCTGGCGGGCGTCCCCGTCTACTTCGTCTTCATCTACTGGCAGAACAAGCCGCAGTGGCTCACCAACTCGTCTCGTCAGTACTTCGTCAAAAGAGGTTCATCATGATTTATGCGTAAACGTAAACTTGACACAATTTATTTTCGATCTTACAGATTTGTTCAACGTGAAGTGCGCCAAGCTGTTCAAAGCCGCTGCGGAGGATGGGTGTAAATTATAGCTTTCATTTTGATCCAGCTGTCGCTTATTGATCAGCGATCCGTGCCTTGCCTTTGCATCCCGTGATGGGAGTTTTTCTGTGATATTGTGGTTAGCTTTGTCTGCGTTCTCAAAGGTCGCTGTATTCGTCGGACGAGTTTTCAGTTACCAACTTTCCCTACGACTAGCCAGTAAAATGAAATACTGTAACTTCGTTTTGGTCTCTCTTCCTCACGCCTTGCCCCGCCCGCCGCCCGACGGGTCGGCAACCCATTCTACACTCTCGCAACGCGGGAGGCCTCGGCGGGCGCACGGCGCACGGCCATGAGGTGAGGCGGGGAGAATGGACTGCTGCCTGAGCACAACAGCACCACAACCTAAAACAACAACCAAACAACGCAACACTTCACTCGGTTCAAACCGTGTGTCCAAGAAAAATATATCAAAATAGAAATCTTACCATTTTCTTTCCGATGGAATGGGTGGCAACCAGGCTAATTTGACCCCTCAACTCGCCCGATCCATTTCATAAAATTAAATAACCGATTCCTATCGTAATCCTTGCAGCCAACTCTGAGCGGACATAGGACCGGCCGCTGTTCGGTACGCATTAGCTGCGCTTCGGCGGCCGGCCTTCGGATCGGCCGAAGAATGAGTGCAGCCCGTCATTGTGATCCCAACCAGACGAACTAGATGAATGGCCCGGACAGTCACGCCTTGACGTTATTTGACACCTGCCCTAGAACCCGCCGCTGCACCGCCAGGCACCGCCAGATCGACAACGTGCTCGCGGGTCAGCCCTGACATGCATTCATGATCTCGGGTCACGTGCGCGCGCCACACACCACACACACACACACACACACACACACACACACACACGCGCGCGCGCGCGCACTCATACACGCACACACACACACACACACACTCATGCATTCACACGGACACACGCACACAAAAACAGGTCCTCGATCGTGTAATAATTGGACGGGTGTTGTAGTGACGCCACAGCCCAGGGCCACTTTAACGCCGTCCTATCCGTGGAAAATGTTTCTGGCTAATGTGGCCCCAGGCCCAAAAGTGCATTTTTGCGTTTTGAATACATTTATTTTTTGTGCACTCCTTTGCTGTGTTTCTCACGTGTCTTTTCGAATTTTCGGCTCTTGTTTTCAATGTCTCATTCTGGGGGGAATGTAAACACACGAGTTTTTGCAATTTTCATTTATTTACATATAAATAAATATATTAAATAAATAAGAGTCAGTCTTTCTAGTAGGCGTAGGCGATGGGGCCGCTGGTGTAGGTCATGTGGGAGACCACGGGGGCAGCGGAGTAGGCGACGCCGAGGAGACCAGCGGGGGCGACGGCCTTGGCGACGGGGGCGGCGTAGACGGAGGGGGCGGCGTAGGCAGCGTGGGCGACGGGGGCGGCGTAGGCAGCGGGGGCGGCGTAGGCGTGGGCGACGGGGGCGGCGTACGCAGCGGGGGCGGCGTAGGCGTGGGCGACGGGGGCGGCGTACGCAGCGGGGGCGGCGTAGGCGGCGACGGGGGAGTGGGCCAGGATCTGGGCGTCGTTGCTGGCACGGCTGTCGTACTTGCGCACGCTGGAGAAGGCGGTGTCGACCGCCTTGGAGTAGGTGGTCACGGCCGCGTTGCCGTCCAGGGAGCGCACGGTGCTCTCGTGGGTGGTGCCGATGGCGGGGCTGGCATAGCCGACGGGGGCGGCGGCGTAGCCGTAGGACACGGACGACACGGGGGCGCCGATCAGACCAGCGTTGGCAACAGCCAAGGCGGCGGCGAGGACGACGAGCTGGAAAACAGACTCAGATTGAGGTGGGCCCGTACTAGGCGTCCAGAAGTGCAAGCCCCGCAGGGCTGCGAGCGTCTCACTCCCCGTACCTTGAATGCCATTGTGAAGTTGGTTGGTGTGCTGTCGAGGTTCGACTGTGCTGCCCGGTAGCCCGCTCTTGCTTTTATACTCCCGGCGTGCCGGCTCCAGCATGGCTCCAGCCCCGTCGGCCCGCCAGCACGCCAGGGAGCCCCTCTACCGCCTGCTCCCCTCCGAACGAGCCTCCTCCGGCCTGGCCGGGGAGCAAGACGGAGACGGCAACACTCCAGGACCGCGCCCACCGCGCCCACCGCGCGTCGAGGACACGCCGCTGCGTTCGAAAGGCCGAGCCAGCCGGCCGCCCAGGCCTGCAGTGTGCAGGACGGAGTGCGGCGGGGCGGCCCCTTCCGGAGGCGGCCCTCGCATGATCCAGGAACACTGCGGCGCGGCCCGGCGCGGCGTTTGACATAATTTGTGCAGGCCTGCACGTTTGACAAAGGGAGCCGAACCCGCGACCCGGCGGCGACCCGGGGTCGTCACCCAAGGCGTTTCCAAGCAACGGTGACCGCGCACGAACCAACCCTTGCTTCAGGGGGAGAGAGGGAGAGTTGAGCTGGGGAAGGGTAGATGTGCATGGGAGCTGTGAGGCGGCCAGGACTCTGCGTAAACATCCAACGTCTCGTCGCCGATACGCGATCACTCAGTCGATCCGGAAAGCCTCCAGGAATCCCCGGCGCGGCGGGACTGGCGAGCATATCACACAAATCACTGGGAACTTAATGAGACCGCCAATAACACGGTGCAGCCCAGGCGGCCTGGCCAGCCTGCCCGGCCTGCTCCCGAACGGCCGGCGGGCGATGGATTACGGAAGCGAAGGGCGAGGTTCACGCGATTAATCGGTCTCGTGACGTCACGGCAGTGTAGTGGCGGCCGGAAGGAAGTGCGGCTTGCCGACGACGGCGTCTCATTTGCCGCAATAAACGTAATTTTTCATCCCGCCAACTTCGCTCCGCCCCCTTGTCAAGCAGGGAGTGTGTCATGACTATCCCGTGGCTTGACCCCTGACCTTCTTCTAGGACAGTGGCGCGCTGGGCCTGGGCCATGCCAAGCCACGCACTCGCTTACAGCGGGCAGCCTGGAAATGATTGCTTCCATTGATAGTGCTATCCCCTCTCCACCTATGACATTAAAAATAAATAAAACTAACAAATAAAATTTAAATGGATATTCCCGAGCGTGGTGTTGAACCCAGGTCAAAATCTCCGAGGACCACAGCGAGCGCCAGGGCAGCAAGAAAGCGCTCATCACTGTCGTTGTCAAGTCCAGCACCCTAGCTCCCTTCACCGGAATCATTCGAAAACGTTTAAGTTTTATTTTTCTTTGAGAGGCCACATTGTCAGACAATGGGCAATCAATATTTATTTATTTTTTGTCATTTTTAGGTGACCTCCTCTTGTTCATCTCGGCGTTCTGCGTGCCGCGCGGTGCCGCGGGCCCTGGCGTGCTAGTGCTGGCATTTCGGCGCGTGGACGTGTAGAGGTGACGGATAGCCTATTCGTCATATTGTCGTTGGCGGCCGCGGCCCGGGCGGGCCGGCTGCGAGGAGAGGGGGTCTCTAGGTTAGGGGGCAGCGGCCGTGCCGGGATAACTTGAAACAAGAGCGCGCCCCGCCCCGCCCCGCCCCGCCCGCCCGCCCCGCCCCGCCCCGCCCCGCCCCGCCCCGCCCCCCCCGCCCGCCACGCCCCGCCAGCTTGCATTGAAACGCTCATCGAGAGCGTTTTGTGTTGTTTTTTTTTGCGCGGGCTGTGCCGGATGGCCTTCCGCAGAGGCCCGCCCCGCCCCGCCAAACGCCACCCCGCCCCACCCCGCCCCGCCCCGCCTCGTGCCCAGCGACACACCCGCGGCGTGGGCCGGTGCGGCTAATTTCCAGAATTTTCGCCGAGGAGTAGGGAGGGGGGGGGGAGGGCCCGCCCAGGTACGGTGGGGAGAGGGACCAGGAAGCTGGAAGAAAGCGACCGGAAGGCCGCTCACCTCGCGGTGCAGGCGATGCTGGCGGTGTTGGTGCTGGCTGCGCGGCCTAGTCGGTGGCTCTAACGCCTGCGAGGCAGGCCGGCCCGCCGCGCACCTGTGCGCTGTGTCGCCTGTGTTGCCTACCCCAACCTTCGCAGGCGCTCGCCGCTCCGCACCGCGATAGCGGCACCGATGCGCTGCGCTGCGATGCGCTGCGGCCGGCAGGAGATGCACCGTGGCAGCCGTGGCAGCACACAGCGCATCTCGGCAAGCCCACTGACTCTGTCTGCCGGAGCAAAGACCGCCCCGTACCGCCCCACAGCCTCTGCCGATAGTGTCCATTGACATGCCAAAGAATGAAGTCGCGGAATACACCACAGATCCCCGAACAGGACCACTGACACTGTAATTTGACGGGATATCATCGATTGATTTCAAAAGCAACAACCATTTTTCTGTGCGCATTCCTAGCAACATGAGATCGCGTAAGTGCAGTGAACAGGGTGTTGCATTGACGTATCTCACCACATCTACTGCCGTATCTCATCTAAAATTAAAGAGTTAAGTAGGAAATGTGTCATATTTGTCTAGGAACACCAAGAGCTCATTTTTCGTGTCTCGAAGATTGTTGTGTGCAAACATGCCCGTTGGTAAATACGGGACTGGAAAAAGATTGACTAAGGCAGAGGTAGAGTTTTTGCAACGCTTATTTATTGGCGCATTTAAGTAAATAAATAGTGAAATAAATAAGAGTCACGGTATCACAGCTTAGTAGGCGTACTGCACACCGTAGGAGCCGGTGTAGGTCATGTGGGAGACCACGGGGGCGGCGGAGTAGGCGACGCCGAGGGGAGCAGCGACGGCCTTGGCGACGGGGGCGGCGTAGACGGAGGGGGCGGCGTAGGCAGCGGGGGCGGCGTAGGCGTGGGCGACGGGGGCGGCGTACGCAGCGGGGGCGGCGTAGGCGGCGACGGGGGTGTGGGCCAGGATCTGGGCGTCGTTGCTGACGCGCACGTCAGAGCGGGACACGCTGGAGAAGGGGGTCTGGATGGTCTTGCTCTCGTGGGAGATCTGGCCCTGGTTGCCGAAGGTCCTCAGGGTGTTGGAGGACTGGGAGGTGAGGGTGGGGGTGCCGACGGCCACGGGGGCAGCGGCGTAGCCGTAGGACACGGCGGGGGCGGCGGCGTAGCCGTAGGACACGGGGGCGCCGATCAGACCAGCGTTGGCAACAGCCAAGGCGGCGGCGAGGACGACGAGCTGCAAACAAAGTCACGTTAGTTCCAAACACTGGGATCTACCGTCTTATCTTCGAGCGGACGCACTGCATAGACCCAGGAGGCAAAGTCATGGCGCAGGTGTGTTTTGCCTGCTGCCGGACCCACCTTGAAGGCCATTTTGTTGGTTGGCTTGAGCGGCGGCTCTGAAGTGGATTGCTGGAAGTGAGTTGATCGAATGATGCCCGGACCATCCCGCCCGCCGCTTATATACTTGGCGCCCCATGGCTGACGGCCCGGCTACCGCGGCCGCCGGACAGGGCGTGGCGGGGACGCCCCGTGTCCTGCCGGCCGCCCGGTGCACTCCTTCCCCTTGCAGTTCCGCCAAGTTCGGCGAGTCCGGCGAGTCCGCGGGGCTGGCGGCGCGTGCCGCGTCAGTGACCCCTTGCGGCGAGAGGAAGGGGTGTCCCCGCCCCGGCACTGGGGCAGCCGGTACACCCGGCCCCGCCCCGCCCTCCCCCGCCGGGCCGATAGCCGGGCCCACGGGGGAAGTATAAAACCGCGAGCCACGGAGGTCCAGGCATCATTCGATCTCCACAATCACTGCAAGCTACTCAGAGCCACCGCTCAACTCACCCAACAAAATGGCCTTCAAGGTAAGTCCAGTCCCGTGCTCGGTGTATTCGGCAGTGCAGAGCTGCAGGGCTGCAACGCGGAGGAAAATGCTTTGGCCCTCCGCACTGCGCCCGAAACGCCACTAGAAGAATAGATGCTGCAGCAACTAAAGAAATGCACGTGTCGGCAAATCTAACGTGTCTTCGCTTGCAGCTCGTCGTCCTCGCCGCCGCCTTGGCTGTTGCCAACGCTGGTCTGATCGGCGCCCCCGTGTCCTACGGCTACGCCGCCGCCCCCGCCGTGTCCTACGGCTACGCCGCTGCCCCCGTGGCCGTCGGCACCCCCACCCTCACCTCCCAGTCCTCCAACACCCTGAGGACCTTCGGCAACCAGGGCCAGATCTCCCACGAGAGCAAGACCATCCAGACCCCCTTCTCCAGCGTGTCCCGCTCTGACGTGCGCGTCAGCAACGACGCCCAGATCCTGGCCCACACCCCCGTCGCCGCCTACGCCGCCCCCGCTGCGTACGCCGCCCCCGTCGCCCACGCCCCGCCTACGCCGCCCCCGCTGCCTACGCCGCCCCCGCTGCGTACGCCGCCCCCGTCGCCCACGCCGCCTACGCCGCTCCCTCCGTCTACGCCGCCCCCGTCGCCAAGGCCGTCGCCCCCGCTGGTCTCCTCGGCGTCGCCTACTCCGCTGCCCCCGTGGTCTCCCACATGACCTACTCCAGCGGCCCCATCGCCTACGCCTACTAGGTCAAGTCAAACCGTCAGAGTCAGAGCCTCACCACTGTTCACCACTATTTATTGAATCGAATCATACCCGATCCATGACTGAGATCTCGAAGCGCGAGTCACCATGTGTACATAAGGCCATCAAACTATTTATTTGCCCTATTTATTGAAAATAAAATATGGAACAAATGCAGTAAATCACTCGTTCTAATCTTAACCGATCCCCTATTTCTTACAAATATTAAAAATATCCCTTTAACTTGAGGTTAAAAAACACATGCAACTAAAAGTTGTTAAACTTACAAGTTTCAGAGCTGTTTTAGTAAGACCATGTTATGTTAATCGATGGTTTCTTAATATTCTTTTTTAATCTGGCTTACAAACGCACGTACTTTAGACATACTTTTCTTAACACCGACCGCACAAATATTACAACAACTCAAAACACAATCAAGCAGTCTTCCGTTCCGGTTTTTTTCTCAAGAAAATAAACCAGTGACAAATTTTGCCTACAAGCGCTTTTACAAAAAAAGGCGGTGCCGCGGCACGCTGCCTCTTGTTCTTGGTTTTGTTCGAAACTCGTAAAATAAAAAACGGAAACAAAGGAAAAGGGCAGAGCCCTGGCAAGGCAGAGGCGATGCGGTCGTCCTTGGGCGTCTGCTCGGCGCATGTCCTTCTTTCTCCCCTTTCGTCCTTTTCCTGTTTTTATATTCGAGCGGAAAGGTCGATTCGCTTCCCACTACACTTTGTTGCTCAGTGTGCAACAGTGGCCTGCCCGCCGGCCGCCGCCGGCCCTCAAGGACGGATCACTTCCCCATTTTTTTCACGTTTTCTTTTTTTGCCTCATCGCCGGTCTTCTTCTGAGGGGCCGCCACCACCGGCTGCATTCCCTGCATAGCCTGGCGTTGCCACGCCTCTCACGTCTGCGGATGTCACACACGCCGCCCAGTAATCGGTCGCCTCTTCGGCGAAAACACGATGGGGAGTTTAATAAGAAAAGCGTTGTTCAATTTGATCATATCACATTTTTTTATTGCAAATAAATAGTCGAATCAGGTGAAGTTATGTACACGCAAGGGCCGCTGAGCAGCCTCAGTCTGGACTTGGCAGTCGGAGGAGGAGAGCTTAGAAGTACTGACGGTGACTAGAGGGAGCTTGACCTAGTAGGCGTAGGCGATGGGGCCGCTGGAGTAGGTCATGTGGGAGACCACGGGGGCAGCGGAGTAGGCGACGCCGAGGAGACCAGCGGGGGCGACGGCCTTGGCGACGGGGGCGGCGTAGGCGTGGGCGACGGGGGCGGCGTAGGCAGCGGGGGCGGCGTAGGCGTGGGCGACGGGGGCGGCGTACGCAGCGGGGGCGGCGTAGGCGTGGGCGACGGGGGCGGCGTACGCAGCGGGGGCGGCGTAGGCGGCGACGGGGGAGTGGGCCAGGATCTGGGCGTCGTTGCTGGCACGGCTGTCGTACTTGCGCACGCTGGAGAAGGCGGTGTCGACCGCCTTGGAGTAGGTGGTCACGGCCGCGTTGCCGTCCAGGGAGCGCACGGTGCTCTCGTGGGTGGTGCCGATGGCGGGGCTGGCATAGCCGACGGGGGCGGCGGCGTAGCCGTAGGACACGGACGACACGGGGGCGCCGATCAGACCAGCGTTGGCAACAGCCAAGGCGGCGGCGAGGACGACGAGCTGGAAAGGAAAGAGTATCGGTCACCCTCCTGGAGCCAAAGAAGGGCACGGGGCACCAGCGAGCGACAGGCCCGGTGCGGCTCTTACCTTGAATGCCATTTTGACTCGTTGATCGGTGCGGATCAAGTGATGCTGATACCGCCTGATACTGCTGCTTTTATACGCACGTCTCCCTGGGGCCCCACTCCGCGCCCGGCTCGCCCCTCCCCTGCCTGCAGCACGCGGTGTCTGCCTCTCTCGCACCCGGCGGGGAGACAAGGACGGGGAGTGTTCCGGCGAGCGGCCCGGGCGGCCTCCCAATACGGCGAGGGGTGAGGGGGAAGTAACTACGTAAAAGTCACGTACGCGCTCTCAGAACAGTCACACCAAAAATCTTATTACAATCACCTATGAATTATTATGTAGCTCATTGGTGATCACTAGGCATTACCGGAAATAATTGGTGATTATCGGTGATTTATCAAGACATAATTTTTATAATACTGACATTTTTAAAGAAAAGGAACACGATATTACTGGAGAATGTTTGAGCGCCGGCCTCAGAAAGCTGTCAAAGTGTCGAAAATAAAATACTGCTGACTTTGCCACTGCATCCAATATAGCTGCGGGAAAAAGCAGGCAAAAGCCTCCCCCAGAAAAGGCTTAGACTGGAGCTACATTGGGAGCACTGGCCTCGCAAAAATGGTAGGAAGGTAAATGAACCTCCGAAAGTAGCTGACTTTGGGCGGCCACTGCGTCCAATCTAGCAGCGGTCAAAGGCCTCCCTCGACGCCCTAGTATTCTTGAGACCCTACTTTTTCATGCCCCGCCTCTGGAAAGCTTTGACCGCAGCCAGTTTGGAAGCAGTGGCCTCGCAAAAATGGTCAAAAATTGAATGAATCTCCGACAGTAGCCGTTTTTGCTGACTTTGGACGGCCACTGCGTCCAATCTAGCAGCGGTCAAAGGCCTCCCTCGACGCCCTAGTGTTCTTGAGTTCCTACTCTTTCATGCCTTTCCTCGGGAAGGCCTTGACCGCAGCCAGTTTGGGAGCCGTCACCTCACAAAGTTGGTCAAAATGCAATTGAATCTCCAAAAGAATGATTGTGATTACGTCGGATTATGTTGATTATTTCACTGATTGCTATTAGGTTGATTATCTCTGATTGGTTACCCCTAGGGTTCAAGCCTTCCATCAACGACGCCCTAGTAAAGGGGTCTGCCACGTCTTAAATTATGTACCATTGAGTGTAAATGTATGCCACTGACTAAAATTATGTAAAATTCAGTGTGAGTGTAGTGAGTTATCCACTCCATTCAGCAACGCTTTTTGCCTACTTACAGGCGTTTGCCTCACATATTGCACAGGCGTTTGTCTTCGGGGCTGTGTGAAATAGCGTGACCTTTGAGATGCGGCCGGTCCTATGGCCGTCCTGGGGTTCACATAATTATCAGCGCTGTTAGGCCTCAACAGACTTTCAGCATTCTAGGAAGCAACTACAGGAACAAACATTTTCGTTGTAGCAGCGTACGAAACAAGCAGGGATTAGAGTGGGCCCACCCCTCGACATCCAAAGTCGCGATTCAAACTCACGGCAGTTCGAGGCCACACACCTCGGCAGTGACTAAGAACAGCTGAGCTGCCTTTGAGGTTGGTCGTGGGCGAGGCTGCTCCCTGCGGACCGAACCGCATTGTGTTGTGCAGTCGCGTTAGCATAATACACCCGACAGCCACATTCAAAATATAAGTAACATTTGACTCTGTCGTAGACAAAGTGTGCAAGTGCATTGACTGCCGCAAACATTGAAAAATAAATAGAGGATATTGAGTTTTTGCAACGCTTATTTATTGGCGCATTTAAGTAAATAAATAGTGAAATAAATAAGAGTCACGGTATCACAGCTTAGTAGGCGTACTGCACACCGTAGGAGCCGGTGTAGGTCATGTGGGAGACCACGGGGGCGGCGGAGTAGGCGACGCCGAGGGGAGCAGCGACGGCCTTGGCGACGGGGGCGGCGTAGACGGAGGGGGCGGCGTAGGCAGCGGGGGCGGCGTAGGCGTGGGCGACGGGGGCGGCGTAGGCAGCGGGGGCGGCGTAGGCGGCGACGGGGGTGTGGGCCAGGATCTGGGCGTCGTTGCTGACGCGCACGTCAGAGCGGGACACGCTGGAGAAGGGGGTCTGGATGGTCTTGCTCTCGTGGGAGATCTGGCCCTGGTTGCCGAAGGTCCTCAGGGTGTTGGAGGACTGGGAGGTGAGGGTGGGGGTGCCGACGGCCACGGGGGCAGCGGCGTAGCCGTAGGACACGGCGGGGGCGGCGGCGTAGCCGTAGGACACGGGGGCGCCGATCAGACCAGCGTTGGCAACAGCCAAGGCGGCGGCGAGGACGACGAGCTGCAAAGCAAAGACACGTTCGTCAAAACTTCAAAGAAAGGTTACTCAAAGTGCGTTTGATTGGGTTACGGATCTCACCTTGAATGCCATTGTTGTTGGTTGGTTTGAGCGGTGGCTCTGAGTTGTGTGGTGGAAGTGAGTTGATCGAATGATGCCTCTGCGGTCGCCCCGCCCCGCTTATATACAGCGAGCAGCTTCCCCGTGCGGCACTCACATCCTCTGCGCCACGCCCCGCCACGCCCCGCCGCGCCCCGCCTCCTCTCTCTTCGTCTGGCCTGAAGACCCAATGCCGGCGATTTGTTTTGGTCGGCCGGAAGAACAAGTTTTGGAGGCAAGAAGAAGCCTGAAGCGCGGGTGACTGCTGCAGCGTTTGGTTGGTGCTCGCGGAACGTTGAGGGTTCTGGACCACTCTGTGGAGTAGCAGGGCTAGCGGCCCGGAAACTAGGCGTCTTAGTTGAACCGGGCATTCTGTCGTCCTATGGAACAGAGTGTAAACTCCTCGCGCCAATGGACGCGAGTTGGATGTCAATTTCGCACTGCCTTGATGTTGGCACTACCGTGGTGGGTGATGTGGTAAATTGGCAGCGCTTGGCAGCACTGCGTAACCCTGCCAAAAAGAAAACCGGCCAAAACGTGAGGCGGCCACACTGAGCGCGCGACACGCACGCCGCCTAGCTACGGCAATTAATGACAACCAATAATAGCGCGTCCACCGACCCTGGCGGGCCCTGGCCATTCTGGCCACCCTGCCGGCCCGCCCGCCGCGCCACTCGAAAAATACGGCGGGAAAAGAAGGCGAGGCGGTGAGTTACAACTTACAGTGCAGTGACGCCGGCGACACGACCCGCGAGCCAAGGCGGCGGCGGCGGGACCGAAATAAACACCGACTTTTACGATACGACTTTTGGCAGGGTACGTTTCCGGAGCATGTGCCTGCTGGGCTGGCTGGGTGCAGCGGCGGGCGTTGGTCCTGGGCGGGGCGGGGCGCTGGGCCACAAGTCTGCAAGTGGGTGACCTTGCCGTGGCATTGACTCGGTCACAGCCCCGCCTCGCCACGACCTCTCCTCTGCTCCCTTCTCTCCCTTATACTCCCTTTCTGCGTATCAACGACTCCCTGTTCCTTTCTTCTCTCCGGCCTGCTCACGGACCAATCAAAACCGGAGGGATTTGGTCGCTCTGTTAACTTTCCCATTATGAATGACCACGTTGGCTGTCACTCGGCGTGCAAAGGGAGGAGCCGTCTTGCGGCAGCAGCAGCACAGGGTTTGGCTTAGCGGTTTGTCCCCACCCTAACCACGGCGTGAAATTCACCTCCATGAAGTACGAAACGTGTTGAAAAACAACCAATGAGTCGTTGAACGAACGGTAGCCCTGGCCACTGCCGCATCTTCCTTCCCCTTCCTTTCTCTCTCCGCGTCGCTGCGCCCTGGCCGTGTTTTGCGGGAGGCACGCGGACAGGGGAGAGAGGGACAAAGGGCGGGCCCTTGGGCGGGCCGGGCACAGAGAGGCTGAGGTCTGTGAAGGTCTGGGTCTGGGTCTCGGAACAGGCTGGCGTACCCTGCCGGCCTGCCGGTGGGTTAGTTCCAGAAGGCCACGGTCAGTCTACATGCCATCCGGCCAAAGAAGCGTAGCGACAGCCCAGCCTGGCCAGCCGGTGTCGGTGCCCCTCTACCGCGCAACCCACGTAACCTCGGCCGGGGCTGCGGCAGTTACCGCACCGGCGGCAGGCGGCGCGGCGGCGGCAGGGCCCGGGGCGGCGGCCAGGGCAGGTGTGCATGCTGGGCGTCTGCAGCCTGCAGCTTGTGCAGCCGAGGGCTGATGAATACGTTTCGAGCTCTCGATCGAGCGTCCTTTCAATGCTGCCATCTAAATTTTAAAAAAAGTTGATAAGCACTCTGGAAAATATCTTGGTTGGTAAAAGTTTTTCCTTTGATTTTAGAGTAAGGCGAGGCGTTAAAAGAGGACCTTCTGCGGCTGGTTCGGCTGCCGTTCCTGTTTCGGCGCAGAATCCTTGCCCCTTCACCCCGCCGGGCGTTTTATGTCCCCGCCCGGTTTACGTGTAACGACGTGAACTGCAGCGAGAGGCGGATGGCGGATCTGGAAGGCGCGGCGCGTGAGTCTGGCCGCCTTTCTGCGCACCGCCGCACCGCGCACACTCGGGGTTTGGCAACGCCACTGCAACGCCATGGCGACGCCGTCGAAACAAAAGGACAGGCCTGCCCTCGACCTCCAGCGCCTCCAGCTCGCGAGCGCCGCGCCGCCCCGCCCTGACCTACCGCGGCGGGATTTAGCCCGGTCACCTAGGCCGGTGTTGCAGTGCGGTATCGCAAGCCGACAAATACTCTGGCGGCAAGCTGACAACTTCGTATTATCCTGATACGTTCCCGGCACGCCCCACGACCGCCAGGGTCCTAACTGCACGGGGCTGAGGCTTCCCTCACAGTGACAGGCCGACAGGCTGAGAGCGGTTCGTGTTCTGACTGTATACGGGACCTCCCAGCCGGTTTCGCCCTTTTCCAAAGACAGACCGCAGGGAGCACTAGAGCAAAATTGAGAGGAAAACCGATTAGCTGTGTCGAGTGTCGCCTGAGACTTAGAGTGGGATCGATGCAATGGGTGCATTGGGTGCATAGGCGAAGGTGCTCCACTATTCTACAATGCCACTCGCGTGAGTCGGTGACTCAGCACGGCGGTCCTCCGAGTCCTCGCTGCTTGCCGCCCCGCCCGGCCGGCGGCTCCATGCGCGGCCCCGCCCGCCAGGACGAGACTGCCTTGCGCCTTGCCCCTGGCGGCCTGGCCGGCCAGCCAATCATTCCGATGCGGGAGGGAGTCGAGGAAGTAGTGGCGGAGCGGCCGGCCGGATGTTTGTCTGTTTGTCCGACAATTACCGCGCCTCGACCGGTCAGCGTCAACCCGCCAAATTTTGATGGATCTTCCTCATTTCGCGCCGCCGGCCCGCCGCGCTGCCGCGCCCACTTCTCGGGGTCCTTGGGCGCGCGGCGTGCGGGACGCCGTCCAGGACGCCGCCGTCCTTGGCGCCGCACCGCTTCCGCGCGGCCGCCACGCCACGCCCTCGCACTTACGAGTCGAGTCACTGGCCTCTCTAAGGTCCCCTGTCGCCCTGCCGGTGGCCCTGCCCTGCCCGGCCCTGCCGCCGTCTCGCCGCCGCCGTGGTCCTGCGTGCGGCTGGCCGGCGGGGCCGGGCTGGACCCCTCCCCCTCCTCCGGGCGGGCGTGGCGGCGTGGCGGCGCGGTGCGGAAGTCCATCTCGCGTTGCCGGCGTTGCCCTTTGGCGCTGCGGCCGCGGCGTCGCGCTGCTCCACGGCCAATTCATTGGCAATTATCGCGCGGAAGTGACAGGGACAGGGCCTCCTCCGGGTGGCCGACGGGCAGCCGACGGCGACCCTCCACGCGCCGCCACCGGGGTTGCCGGCCCTCGCGGCCCTCGCGGCCCTCGGCCAGCGGGCCGATTCCGAACAGCGCGTCGTCGCTCTGTCTCTCTCGGACTCCCACGGGGCGCCCCGTGAGTGCGAGAGAGACAAGCGACGGAGCACTGCTCGGACGGAACGAGCCTGCTTATCGCGGTTGGCATCGCGCGGTAATCGGCGCGTTTTGGACAAGACAAGGCGATTCGTCGGGCCAGCCGGTGCAGCGGGCAGGCAGCGACCGACCCTCCATGGCCCATATTCGACGAGGAAATTGGATCGGCTGGCCGGCCGGTGGTCGCCCCGCCGATGTTGCCGCGCCGCGCCACGCCACGTGCGAGGAAGACAGAGGAAAGTGCTGTCGGAAGAAAGGCCGAAAAGTCGTCGAGGCTCGCGGCGCGCGCGGCCTTGACCTAGATCCGGGAGGGGCGTGGCACCGCGGCGTACGACGACGGCGACGACGACGGGGACATGTGGTGGGCCGCTCCGCACCCGCCATGACCGCCTGCGACGCCCGGCCTAGGCAGCACTGCCGCTCGCGCGCGTTGGCGGTTGCCTAGCCGCTGGTCGGCGGGCGCTCCCGGCCCTACGCGCCGAGGACTACGCGGCGCGTAGGTCGCTGTGCTATTGTTCGCCTTTCTTTCGAGCTGACTGTGTTTCACTCCGAAGCGTCCGTTTCGTGTGACTGGAAGTCGCGTAATCCATATAGGTACATCTTGGTACATCTTAATGACGGCGATGATCACGGACAATGATGACGGTAATCACATCATAATGCTGACGCTCCATAGGTGGCGGGCACACTCACACACTCACACAGACTCAGACGCACGCGCGCACACACAGAGGCGGGCGCGCGAATGGAGGCCACACGGCTGGGAACGAGCCGGTGTCAAGATGCTGTCGATAATTCAGGAGGCCCCGGCAGACCCTGGCCGGCTGCCCCGCTGGCCGGCTGGCCGGACTGCAGGACTGCACTGGCATCGTGCGTCCTACAGTGTCGGGGCGGCATGACCACAGCCACTAGCCCACTGGCAGAGCAAGGTGCCGCCCGCACGGAGAGCTGAGAACTTGTCGGAATGGGACGAAGGATCGCAGTTAATTTCGTCCAATAGCAAAATCGGCAGAAACCAACGGGCGTCTTGCGTTGAAGTCACTGCAGTATGGCTAAAATTTCCTCGTTCAACAATTGATTTTAGACGACCAAACCCGAAAAAGTCATGGTATTGCCAACTTCGACCCGAGGGGGAATCGACCGACAACATTGGATCTGACGACAAGCGACCGGGAGCGAGTTCAATTCGCCTTCTCCTCGGGGGGCGTTCGCGGAGGCGAGGCGCGCGGCGCGGCGTGTCCCTGGCCCTGACCCTGGCAGTGAGCCGGTCCGGAGTTCCTCTCGGCCCCTGCATGCCCGGCCTGCCCTGGGGCGGCACGTCGGCGCGCCTGCTTCGCCTGCTCCTGCACAACTGGTGGTTCTATAAGGGCGTGGGCAATGTAAAAACGCTTGCTGTGCCGTATTTATTTGTCAAACTACTAACTTTGGAGTTTTCCTTTCAAAAGGACTTTCTGTATACGTTGTTAAGGGGGGATAGAAGATAAAACCAGGTGTTTACTGCATTTGTTCCATAATTTATTTTCAATAAATAGGGCAAATAAATAGTTTGATGGCCTTATGTACACATGGTGACTCGCGCTTCGAGATCTCAGTCATGGATCGGATATGATTCGATTCAATAAATAGTGGTGAACAGTGGTGAGGCTCTGACTCTGACGATTTGACTTGACCTAGTAGGCGTAGGCGATGGGGCCGCTGGAGTAGGTCATGTGGGAGACCACGGGGGCAGCGGAGTAGGCGACGCCGAGGAGACCAGCGGGGGCGACGGCCTTGGCGACGGGGGCGGCGTAGACGGAGGGAGCGGCGTAGGCGGCGTGGGCGACGGGGGCGGCGTACGCAGCGGGGGCGGCGTAGGCAGCGGGGGCGGCGTAGGCGTGGGCGACGGGGGCGGCGTACGCAGCGGGGGCGGCGTAGGCGGCGACGGGGGTGTGGGCCAGGATCTGGGCGTCGTTGCTGACGCGCACGTCAGAGCGGGACACGCTGGAGAAGGGGGTCTGGATGGTCTTGCTCTCGTGGGAGATCTGGCCCTGGTTGCCGTAGGACCTCAGGGTGTTGGAGGACTGGGAGGTGAGGGTGGGGGTGCCGACGGCCACGGGGGCAGCGGCGTAGCCGTAGGACACGGCGGGGGCGGCGGCGTAGCCGTAGGACACGGGGGCGCCGATCAGACCAGCGTTGGCAACAGCCAAGGCGGCGGCGAGGACGACGAGCTGAGCAAATTTGGAAACAAACGAATGGTTAGAACGCGTTGAACACTTTTCGATGCTTCGGATGAAGGGTTGGCACCCCGCTGCGCGACGAGCTCACTGAACACTCTGAGCACAGGCACAGGCACCCACCTTGAAGGCCATGGTGATGGTTGTTGGTGAGTAGTCACTGGTGCGACTGATGCTGCTGTCTGGGCCCGGGCGCCTTTTATACTCGACCACGCCTGGCGACGCCGCGACGCCCGGCGAGTGGAAGGGTGGCGGCCGTTGGCTGCCGTTGGCTGCACTGGAAGGGGACGGAAGTGGCGGGGGTTCCAAACAAAGCCGCCATTAGGCAGGCCGAGCAGCCGCCACTGCAGTGACTGGAGTCCCTCCTGGAGTCCTGGAGTTCTGAAGTCCTGGACAGAGCCTGGAAGTCACGCTGGAAGAACGACCATCACAGAGACGTGTCACAGAGTGCGCGGGGTGCAGCGGGCCGCCTGCGGGTAGGCAACCCATCGGGCTGCTTCGTGCCGCTGCTCTAGATTATGATGGGATGACCCCGAGACCTTCCTCGACTTGGGCTCGAAACAACACACACTCTACTCCCCATAATGCCTTTACCGCGAGTTCAAATCGTCGCTCTGAGTCTGTCTCTGCCGCCCACCTCCCCGTCCCCATCCCTGGCATACTTGCATTTATTTGACTGAAAAAGTCATTACACTGCCTCGTTTTTCGTGTTTCTTCGCAGTGTCTCATAAAGGAGTCCGAGGCGGGGGAAAGGGAAAGGGGGGGGGGGAGACCCGGCTTGTCCTTGCTCTTGGTTCCGAGCAAAGTGGGATGCAGACGGGGCCCAACTGCAGTGAGCCCTGCATCGCCCCCCCCCCCCTTTTCCCCTCAACCCGAACCCTCGTCGTTGGAGGCGGAGAAAAGGAGAAGGGGGATTTTCCCCCAAAGCGAGGGGCAGTCGGAGACAGGCACTACACTGCTAAGGTAATCATTTCGGGGACCTAATTACTGTCGAGATAGCATGACGGCCCGCGGTTTGGGGCCGCAGCCGCACGCGGCACGCGCGAGTTGGTGTCGCAAGCTTCTCGATCAGGCCGAGCAGGCCGAGCAGGCGACGGTTGCGTTTTGGCGACGCGCGCCGCGTCGTCATGAATGATACGACACCTCTCTTATTGGCGCCACAATACCTTTGTGCGGCGCAGGACACACACACACACACGCACTCACACAAACACACGGCGGTTCCCCTGGGGCGGCTGACCTGGGCGACCGCCCTGCCCCTGCGGCCCCTGCGGCCAGGCCCGGGTCGGCCCTGCTGGCCTGCGCCCTGCACTTGGGGCCCGCCGCCCGCAATACGAATCGCACTCCTCCGGCCGGCGGTTTCCGCGGGGGTTCGATGTGGGGCAAGGCCGGGCAAGGCCGGGCCAGGCCGGGCCAGGCCGGTCGGGCCATGTTTGATGAACTGGCTCGGCAAAGACCGGACATCCGATCCCACCCAGACGATATCAGATGGATGAGGTCAGGATCAGGTTGTTGTTTCCGTCCCCTGTGACTCTGCGGCCCGCCTTTGCTCCCATAGCTCCGCGCGCTGAGCGCTCCACCCGGCTGACGCGCGGCCCAAGACGCCACAGACTTCGGATAAAGAAAACAGGCGCGGCGTCAGGTCTAACCTGCTCTAACCGTCGTCAACAAACAGCCCATTTGCATTTGCGGTGTTCTCGCTCCCTCCTCTCGTGGGACTTCCCTCAATAACGATCAGCCGTATGCTTGATAATCATGGTTGTCATTGCATGCAATCAAGATGACAAGGGAAAATTTATCACACATTTTTAATGACTGTGTTAAACGGCACCGCTCCTGCATTTATTCAACACAGTCTTTTGCAACTCATTGAATTTATCCTCGCTTGCCACTTCTAAGCTTGGTCGGTGCTGCCATCTAGTGGAGAAAGCAGGCAACAGGCCACTGGCATGGCCTCGTTCTCATTCGTCTGGCCTCCGCTAGGGGCGCTTTTGGAGTCATTCACCTCTCACGTGGTCGATTTTCTGAAATATCGCGTTCTGCTACTATTCAAGCCCTAAGACGTTTAAAATTTAACACGTGTGCGTTTTTATGAAATTTTTGAGCCCCTAGTTTTCATGAAGTAGGCTAAAGAAAGGCCAAAATCGGTTTGCGGCGTACCGCACTGCTGATTCCCAGGCCGCACGCCCGAGATCTCTTGGCCATATTTGTATCGTCGGTTTCTAGTTCAGCATGTCATTTGTTTCGCCTTTCACGTTGCAATTTGCAAGTTCATCTGTGGTGTTAGGTACGTTCAAATTTAATGAAAACAATGTTATTTATTGTTACACAACACAATTATTACTTTGGGGATGTTCTTTCATCTCATGGTTTATGAAACTGAAGAAATACGTGTGAAAAGTAGTTCATCCTCTGCGGTGGTCCTTTGTGTATACATGTCTGAACATGTCTAGACCTGCAGAAGCCTGCTGTTAATGTTGAATGAGGTGGCATGGTGCAATATTTATATTTGTATCTACATCTCTGGCTAATTTACTGGACTCAATTGACCCCAGTTTAGTGTCCAGCGCCCCTCTGGTTGTGCTGGTGCGGCATTGTGATTCGTGTGTTTGTTTGTGCGCAGATAGTGCATCAGCCTGCTGGCGGAGCAGCACGCTCGGGGCCCAGTTTGCAACATAACCTCGCATTTCAAGCAAACCTTCGTCTAGTGGCTGTTTTGGTTTACCGCCTCACTTTCCTCATTACGTACCACTTGAGCTTCCATTAAATATTTTCATAACATTGTGGCTTTTCCAAATTGCCCTATTTTATGCAAAGTACATCCTGTACTTTGCCTTGACTGGCTGACCTTACTCACTTATGTGTGCCAGTTTGTTGTTGGCTTTGCACTGTATTTCGCAATATTGTCTCAAGAGTTCCCAGCATCAAAATGAGAGACGAAATATCAGCAGCTGTGCTGTTTTTAGTTCGACTTATTGAGAGAAGTGAGAATTTCAACTCAGCTCAGCTGGAGAGATTCAAGACTCACTTGTCTGACCTTCTTATGCAACGATTTGAAAACCACTGGTTTCCTGACAAGCCATTCAAGGGTCAGGGTTATCGTTGCATTCGAGTCAACGAATGCAGTCGCAGAGATGCTATTCTCGAACGGGCTGCTGTGGCCTGTGGATTGAAGTATGAAGACCTTAAGCTTCCTGTGGAGTTGACAATTTGGGTTGACCCCAAAGAGGTGTGCTGCCGGTGAGTTGTTGTGTTTTATGTGTTGTATTTTCTGATCTAGTGATGTAATCTTAATAGGAATTTTCTTATATTGTAAGATTTTATTTTAAACTATCTGATTGACCTTTCCATTCTGTTTTTAAATTAAATTAAATCAAGGTTGTTTATTTTCCCTTTGATTAGTCTGGGTTTGTACTTACTGAAGTGTTGCTCTTGTTCACTTTCAGTTTTGGAGAACACAAGGGGTCTTACTGCACCCTTGCGTCTTTCCCTGGCCAGGAAACTGAGGTCAAGGTGGTGGTTGAGAACTGCCCCCCTGAAGTGAAGCTTGATACACCTGCCGCAGTTACTGTGTCTGTGAAGTCTCCTGCATCGACCAAAGTTTCACCTCATGTATCATCTCAATCAAACTCGCCTTTGTTGTCATCATCTCAGACCAGCTCAAACCCAACTGCGCAGTCGGCTGCCAAAGATACCAAAACCAAGGTACAGTCTGAAAGATTTATATCAATCAGATTGGTTGGGCTGCAAGCTTGTTTCTAATCAATGCCTTGCCTTATATCTTAATAGGTGACATCCCCTTCATCCTCCACTGCTACTGTTGGATCGGGACCCAATCATCGTCCCACTGGCACCTCCAGCTCAAATTCTAGTGTCAATACGTCTTCAGCCACCACCAATAACAACCATCATAACAGCAACAACCATAACAACAACCGGCGTGCTCAGAACAGCCCCAAGCAAGGGTCGAAGGCAGGTGGACGCAAGATCTGGCCTGGACTCTCGTATCCGCACCCCTTGCAGCCGTGGTACATGATTCCTCCATGGATGGCTGCATCACCTCCCCCCAACATGATGCGCTCTCCTCCCCGGTCCCGTTACCACTGGGCTCCTCACAAGCCAACTCTCAAAGTTTAGAGAGTTGTTGTGTGCTGCCATGTGATTGCCTCTTTTCAATGCATTGAGATTGGTTTTAAGTTTTATGCCTAGGGAAAGAAAGACCATCTTGTCCCAGAAATATGTTTTATGGCCAAAGTAATTTTCTAGTGTTAAGACGAAGAGAAAAAGTTGATTTTTATTGCCGCAGTGGTGTGCATGATTTCTTAGATCTAAAAGATGCTTTTTCTTTCCCTCCCCAGTTTTGGTCTTTGACCCACTGCCAATCTCTTCAGCACTTTCTTCAATCACAGAAAAATTGTTTGTTTCATGTGAGTGTCATATGATTTATTTAGTAGGTTTTTATTAACTTGGCAAGGCATAGGTGAATCCTCCTTTTTATGTGTAGTAGTTTATTACTGCTTCAGGTTTGTACAGTTCTATATTTTAGCTGTCACTGCTTACATTGTTGTGATTAAGTGTTGATTGTTAGGACTTCAAATGTGACAAATGTATGTTGTAGAAATCCTCTTTTTGTGACAATTGAATAGTTTGGTACCAAGTCACAGGCTGTGTGCTTTTCATGCTCGGAACTTAATGCTAAACATTACTACTTCATAAATTGTAATTTAATTGCGGATTGTATTCATTTCAACTAATGGTTTGGGACCAAGGAGCTGATCCGCACAGCAACAACTTTACACTGCCTATCAACTGTTAATTTTTCTTTTTCTTGAATGAATTTTGGTCTGATCGGTGAGAACAAAGACGTCATTGCATGTAAATTGTTTTCGGCAGTTGTGTATTGGCCCACTCCAAACCTGTTCTGTGTGCATTTTGTTTTGTTTTTCTCTTAAAATTGTGATTCTGTGATTCTGACAAGCTCTTATGAAAATCATGCCTGAAAGATTTTTAAATTTTAAGTGTGTCTATGTCATTGGAGTGGTTCTGTTTGGTATCTGAGCATGAATCCATACCAACACTTAGTTATCATATTGTTTATTGTAGTAACATTTAGGTGCTTTCTGGGTGACTCCAGTCTCACTCCAGGGTTAGATATCTTCCAGTGAATTTTAGGAGTGAGATGAGGTAACTGGCACTCTTCTAGCTGAAGTAGTTTTAGTGGACTGTAGTACAATGACTGACTTGGTACCAATATTGATTTTTCCTAGCTTTGTTGTGGAGGAACTGTTAAGTCTTATCTCTTGTGCAATGTGTAATTTGGTACCATTATTATGCAGTGTCTTCTCAGTTTTACTCAGGAAATGAGATGTATGTGATTTTTGCTTGTTTCGTTGGAACGATAATTTCAATTGAGCCCCCAGATAAGTCAGATTTTTAAAAATGAAAGTTAGAATTTTGCTCAACTTCATCTGCAAGACTTCAGAAATTGTAAATGTTGAGCCTAATTGTAACTCCAGACTTCATGGGTACCACTCTTTTGTTTGATTGTTGTTGAATGGCCTGATCAAGACAAGGGTTGATTTTTGTTTGCTACACTGCCAATGCTGTTAAAACTGCTTAATCAAAGCAGAAATATTATTTTAAAGTACTTGAATAATTAATTTCAGTACTTGATCATAAATTAAATAGTCTCTGTCCATTTTCATTCATTTCATGTATTCATCAACTCCTGTTACCAAATGCTATCACTAATAATATTTTAAGTTTCTAAAAACGTTTTTTGAAAAGTGTTGTGATTAAACTCTTAGTGTAATTGAATGTTAATACTTTTTATCACAGGGTTTATTTATTGCCATGTCAAGCTTTGGCAACTTTGGTCACTGTGCCACAAGCAGTTCGTTTCATGTTGTTTGTGTGCCTTGAGAAAGCCATCTGATGTCAGTTCATGACTATTATAAATAGATGAGCTGTGAGTTTTATCCTTGATGTGGAATCACTCTTGAAAGGATATTGTTTTTTCTCAATACAGATTGCTCCTGTTTTGTATGTTTTTACTTTTTCAAACTTAACCAATAGATTGTAATGAAAATTACGTGTAAGGTGGGAGGAAGAGTGTATGTCCTGGATGGTACTTCTAGTGTTTTGTTTTCGCTAACCTTGCTCAGTTGGATCAGGCAGGCACGTGTTTTAGTATCTTTGTGTGGGATTGTGTGTCTATGATGATCTTTAGTTCCGTGTGGTGTGCAAGTGAAGCTGTGTGCACCTGCTTAGTAATGGAGCCATTGTTGTGGGGTGTATTTTAATGTATGTAGACCATATTGCAACTTTTATTATGCATTTCTATAATCCCATTCTCTTTATTAATTTGGATACCTCCCTTATCTTCATGGTTTGACAATTATTTGATTAGGGTAGAAATTTATTTTTGTTTTCTGAGAGGTCATGAAAAACTTCGTTTGTTTCATTACTTTTTATTTTTATTTTTGTTTGGTTTGTTTGCCATGCAGGAGTTTAAACTGTTGGATGATGTGGGAAAGATATTGGGGGCCAGTTAATGTTCTATGAGGATGATACTTTTGTGATTAAATATATTTCAGCATTTGAATGATTTCAAAATCTGAGTGCACTTGACTGGAGATGAGCTGAAGCAACCAGTTCAGTCTATCTGGGATTCTGTTTACATCTTCTTGATGGCCTTACAAGTGGGGGGGTTAAAATGATTTCCCTGCATTTATCCTTGTATTTCAGTACCAAGTTTGTCCTCCTATTCTATAAGCCTGCTCTATTGGGCCTAATGTCAGCTCATAATGGTACATTGTAAGTTGGGGCATGTTACATTAATTAAATTCGTTTGTACTAGGAAGGTGATTTGCTGCTCTATGGCTTTGATAATTGTGAAAAATGACAAAACATTATTTGAAAAGTGAAATGACTTGATTAGTGACAATGTTAGAAAAGGATTTAAGGTCTAGAGATTTATATGGTGCCTACTGTATGTTTTGTGCATTTATTGTGATATTTTTTCAATGCATCTTGATTGAAGGCATTGCTTTTGTTTCACAACTCAACTATTTATGTTAGTGCCCTCGTGGCAGCATTTTTTCTCTTGGATGAAACTTTCATATCATTTATATTATGACCAAGGCACAAGTCGGCAGCTTGTATGTTGCTTTGAAAATGTCAACCTCATGTACAAGGAATTAGTGTGTACAATGATCATTCTCAATGCTTTCTCAGTGTTCTCGTTTTCTATTAACTCATTAGTGTGTGGGCAATGCAAACTTTTCTTCTGGTCCTGAGGTCCGCTTAGCAGTGTTAGTCTATTATTTTGAGGTATACATTTGTGTGTTTTAGATTAGCTGTGAATAAATCAAGTTTCCAAGGGTCATTCCCTCTAATTTTGTGGACTTCACAAGTAATGCCTGCCTTAATTTCATTTAGATGCTATTTGAGCTTAAATAGTTAATGTCACAGGGAGACACCCTGTAATTACTTCTTGAAGGCCTGAGTGATATGAGTTGTCTATGCTCACTGCATTGAATTGTATTATAACATTCAATAATTCAAACTTTCATTTCTTGATATATCTTTGTTTCTTGTCCATGTTTATCATAACAAAGTATTACTGTTAGAAGACTTTTCGCTTTCCAACACAATTGAATTTATGAATTGATCACCATCATATGGTTTTTCCTTTGATGTTTACTCCCTCACAATTATGAACGACAAATGTGTAGTTACTATCTTCTTAGTTGTTGATGCCTAGTGTAGAATCTTTTCATACAATCAGGCCACACCATGTGGTTATGACTTGAGTACTGTATTAATTAATTATCAGGTAGCAACAATTTCTTAATGACCTGAAGGCAGTAGCTGTATGTACTGAAGCTGCTGAAGACCAGTCTAGAAAGTGATGTTCCTTGTAGGCTTTTTGAGCGCAGAAGTGTAGCATTCCACCTTAAATCAACCAGTATGCTTCTCATTTATATACTCTAATCATTATATTGCAATTCTTAATTTTTCTTTTGTGCAATGACATTGAGAGGTTATTTAGATGCATTTTTCTAGACACGATATGGTAATGGATTGAATGTCAACTCTCAATTTATATATTTTGTGGTTGTTTCTGGTAAAAGACGCTCTCTTTTAAAAATTAATACTTAATTTTATATTAATGTATCCTTAACTTCTAACATAATAACCTCTTTTGACTATAATGTAAAGAGTAGAGCTCAACAATTAAATTTAGACATGACTTGTAACTTATAGAGGGGGCTGTCTCTTATACTCAAGCCCTCTCCAATCACTTAGTATACCCTCTTTTGTGTTTTGGTGGTATTGTGGTGGCTTGTGAGGAGTTAATAATGCATCTAGCTGTGGTGAACCTCATTGACTGATGGCCTGTTCTATGACCTTAAGGCATAAGAAACTTTGTCTTGGCAGGGTTTGCAAAATTATTGATTGTCTATTGGCCTTCTCCCTTTTTCCACATTTGTGTCAGCAGAGATTCCAGTATTGATCACTGTCTAACAGTCATTTACCAGTATATTTTACTAACAAAACCAATCATTCTTCATGTGATGAGTTAAGTCTTTTTTCAGTTATGATTGTTCTGCAAATGTTATTTTCAGTGACAATTGAATTATTTTTCTCCCTTGTTGACTGTAGTTCTGAAGGAACTGTGTGGGTTAGGAGGAAATGCTTTGTGATAGCATAAACATTGGACTGTAAGGGTAGGGATTGAGCTCTCGAGCCAGAACTGAATTGTGTTATATATCTTTTGTAGCACAGTAATGTTTTTACTTGTTTTTTCCCTTTTTTATCAAGTTGTTATGTGATTGGATTTGAACATAAAATTAATTTCTTGGAGCTTTGCTTTATGACTGTCTAGATACTGCTCTTTATTTCAGTCAATTTATTACAAATTTGTTGTTCCAGTAGCCCATTGTTACAGGTTGTACATAGTTATGTCACTGATTACCAGCACAGTCATGATTCCTGTCTGAAAACTTCAGTGCTCTCCTTTTGCATAGGATACAATTAAATTACAATTGGAACTAAGTTTTGTGATTCAGACCTTTCCTGTCTTAATTATCTTTAGTCTGTTGTTATGCAGTTCTGTTGCCATGAAGCCCTCTTTGTTAATTTCGTTTAGTGAAGTGCCTTGTCATTTTTATTTTGTAATGATCAACAAAGATATTTTTCTTTCTGAATCTTCGTATCATCTCACATTTTTCTGGTCTTAACAATATCCTGTTATGTGAAATGTTCGTCATAACTGTGTTTTTGCGCGTGTTGGGGCTGAAAGTCTCAAATGTGTTTGTGAAATCTTCCTTGTTTAATTCTTTTCACTTTTCTTAAAATGTATTTCAATTATCTGGATTAATGTGTGTGTCTGAGAAATCCTAAATGGTTACAGGACTTCTTAGTGGTAGTGTAATGCTAGCTGTTTTAAACTTTTTTTGTTGGCATTTTAATTCAGGTTGTTTGTATAGCTTATTGTTTTCCAGTTGTGGATTTATTGTTGCCATTTAGTCAAAAGTTGATTGTTATGTTCTGGTTTTCCAAAGGTTTTTGTCTTGAAATGGTAGCATAGTGGCTATAGAGTTTGATTTGTACCTCACAATGTCAGAAATGAGTCTCAAAGTTTATTTACTCTCCCTTGATCACATACAAATAATTTAAAACCAATGAGTTAAATCCTTACTTTCAGGTGTTCTGAATGTGCTTGTAAAATTTTAGTGTCACTCAGAATGTTTTCTGGTTAATAATTTGTTGGGCGTTTATTTTAACTTTTCTTCAATTAATGTATGCTTTGGGAATGGTGACAAACTTTTTTAAGTGTTAATTTGGGAGCCAAGCCATCCTTATTTTTTGTTTCTTGATAGGAAAGGAAGATATATTCTCTTGTTTTCTATGTTGAGAGATTTAACTGTTGAATAATTAATGACTTGTACCAGTTGTCAGTGTATTATAGACGATAGTTTTGCATCACAATATGATTTGTTGTCTTTTCTTTCCCTCACTCACAATCACAAAATGATGAAAGGTAAAAAAATTGACTATCGTGCTAACACTCTTTAATTAGTTTTCACTTCCTTGTTTTGCATTTTTAACAGCTATATACAATGAAAATAAAACATGAAGGGACTGTATTCTTGACTCATACACAGGAATATCCAGTAATCCTGTAATTGGAAACTTAATTAGCACAGATAGACCCTTTACTGATATTTCATTATGCTGAGCTATGAACATACTGAAATTCAGGTAGAAATTTGGCAAGCCAAGAAAATGGTAGTCCGAATTTCAAGTTATCCCTTGAGGCTACTCACCGCATATTATGTCGATGCTGTTGAGCAAAGTGGTGTCCAACTGAGCAGTTGGAAGACCAAACAAGTTGAGTTTTTCTTCAATTTCATGAGGCCATTCTTGAAGTAAACTATCAATGTCAGGCATGGGCCTACAACAGAGTATAAGGTGAACACACATACTTTTCAGTTTTGGGTGAAGAATTGAAATCTATTGCTTGCAGTCCACATTTACCTCGTATAATGGACTGTTGGTGGAGGTTTAGAGCGATGCAAGTCACTTATGTCCTTTATCCATTTCTCAATTGCTTTTCCATTTTTTTCGGCGTCTTCAACTTGTTTTACGACCTAATACATACACCATGGATATAATTTTTTTTTAAATATATTAAAACAGGCCTATTATCTACATCATACATTAGCTGATGAACTTACTATAGCTTTTGCAGAGGATTGCTTCGTCAGTGCTCTTAGCTGTAGATGTAAGACAGCAGGCTCACTTTGAGCTGCACATGGTTCGTCCAAAACCTTTAAACCGACACCATCAGTTTTGGCATCTGGTCTCTGAACTTTCAGAAAAGCATCAATATCACCCACTGCTGGTATAAAGTCTGGTACAAATGGCCGCAGTTTGAAATCTAAATCTATTTTCTGAGGTGTGTACCTAACAGCAAAAGAATGTTTTTAATGTCATATCAGAGTAAACAAACCAAATCATTGTTGTCTTTGAACTAATGACTACCTGGTGATATTCTGAAAAAGCTCCTTGATTTCAGTGCTTACAGCAAGATGATCGAATTCCTGGGGATCGTACGATCTACATCAACAAAAGATTATGAGATTTCCTTCTTAAAGACAAGAAATAATACCAAAAAATAACCAGAGACTTCTCAATACCCTTCTAGATAAGCAGCTTTCACATCATCATCATCCTCATCGTCATCATCAGTGTTATCAGATTGATCTGAACTGCCAGGGCGCAGCGTGCTCTCAGCTGCAAGGCTTTGTCTTCTTATTGTGGCCATACCGCTAAGTGCCTTGTCTTGTACAGCACTTTTCTGCAACAGAAAATATGCATAATTTTATTTTCTATGCCAGACTTTGAAAACTCACTTTCTTGTTTCTGTTTTATACCTCTTGCCTGCGAGTACCACTGACAGACGAAGGGGGTGTTGCCACCTCTTCTGCATCAGATACATCTATACTCTCATCATACATGTCAAGGATACAAGACCTTTGTAGGGCTGTAGACCCCGATAAATACTACATTATGCACATTCTCACTCGGTTTTGTCTCAATACAGTCCTTGTGAATGTAACTTATAAACCTAGCAGAAATGCAGTCATACACAGTAATGATTCAATATTCATAGGTTCTAATTCCTGTTGATGAAAAACGAATAAAACTCGAGTCGGAAAGACCAATGTCACCATGCGCACAGTCTCATGTGTTTATATTCAGGTATGTTTATTGTTTTGGTTTGCATTCAAAGTTGGTTGCTAGGATACGCTGCTATAGTCGGATCAGCCTATCGAAGGAGGGGGCAGTGGGCAGGTTGAGGAGGGGGGAAGGAGGGGAAGTGAGAACTTGTTCTTGTTGTTGTAGTAGTTGTTGTTACAGACAGTTATTGTTCTTCATTTACACTGATTGATTATTTCATATTGGCAGACAAAATGAGCCCATTGACTAAAAAATTGTTTAAAAGAATCAATAAAGGATAGAGTTGCCAGTTATTGGTAAGTGTTTGTTTCCCACAGTTCTTTTCCTAACCATAAACTACTTATAATCTATTTAAATCTGATGTTACTGATGTTTGTAAGTCTCCTTTCACGCTGTTAAAACAAGCAAAAATTTCAATGAATTTATTCTCATGGTTTTGCTTATGATGACATTCCTCCATTCAAGTTTGTGCTGGAAATCCTCCCCTTCTCAATGACAGCTGATTGAAACGTTGAGGTACTTCTTTCCCTCATTTTAAGAATTCTGTTTCAGGAAAATGAGAAGAAAATACAGATGTGAGACCTAGTGCTGGTTTGCCTATCATCAATGTGTGCTGCTAATCACTTTTTGGGAAGGATGAACCGAAGACGATCATATGGAAAATTTGGCCCTCTAGTCGGAGCGATTGATGAAGGCACAAGCAGTGCTCGATTCTTAGTGAGTAAATATATTTTCTCTTAAACATTCATCATAATTTAGCTTCCTACTTAACAAGTACTTTTAAAATTCTTAAGTTTTAATTTATTTTTTTTAAGGTTTTTGCTGCTCAGACAGCAGAAGTCTTGACATATCATCAAGTCAGTGTGCCATCAATTTGCCCAAACGAAGGATGGGTTGAGCAAGATCCTCAAGTTCTTATGAATGCTGTTCTAGAATGTGTTGAAAAGACAGTAGAGAATTTGAAACATCTGGAAATTGACCCAAATGATATTGTTGCAATAGGTGTCAGTAATCAAAGAGAAACAACGGTTGTTTGGGATGTCATTAGTGGAAAGCCTCTATACAACGCAATTGGTAATTATTTTCCTCAGGTTATTTCATTCAAGCTCACTTACTACATTTACTTTATGTTGTCACGTTTTCAGTTTGGCTGGATATGCGCACTTCAGAAACTGTTGACCGTCTGGTAAAAAAGGCACGCAATCATGATCCAGAGTATTTGAAGCCATTATGTGGCCTGCCCATTAGTACTTATTTCTCTGCTGTCAAGCTACGATGGCTTCTTGATAATGTTAAAGAGGTTCAGGAGGCAGTAGCTGATGGTCGTTGCCTGTTTGGTACCATTGACAGTTGGATAATATGGGTAAATTTTTCAAACTTTACTCCTAGCATCTAAATTTTTTGGCATGATTTACCTATTTGAAATTGTTTCTTCTTCCAGAATCTCACTGGCCGGACAGATGGTGGATTACATGTTACTGAAGTCACAAATGCTTCACGAACAATGTTAATGAACATCAAAACATTAGACTGGGATGATGATCTATTGAAGTGAGTAAATTGCAATGAATTTTTTTTGTATTCAGCACAAAACTAACCCATTTTATTAATTCTCACCATGTTTTATTTTTTGTGTTTTTATTTATTTTGATCCAGCTTTTTTGAAATACCAAAAGAAATTCTCCCAGACATTCATAGTTCATCTGAAGTTTATGGATACATCACTGCAGGCTCATTAAGTGGTGTTCCAATATCAGGAGTAAGGCTATTGTAAGTCATTTTCATTCACTCAATTTTATCAACAAAGTCTTATAGTAGCCTTTTTTGCTCAGTGTTTAGGAGATCAACAAGCAGCTTTAGTTGGCCAAATGTGCTTTAAAAAAGGACAAGCTAAAAGCACTTATGGAACCGGATGTTTCCTTCTGTACAATACTGGAAATTCGGTAACTTTCATTTGATGACTATTCTTTCAAGTCTAATTAACTCCCCTTTACCTTCAATTGTTGTATTTGTGTCCCAGGTTATTCAATCAAAACATGGTTTGCTGACCACAGTAGCATACAAACTAGGACGCAACAAGCCTCCAGTTTATGCCTTGGAAGGATCTGTTGCTGTTGCGGGGGCAGCCATCAAGTGGCTTCAGGAAAATTTAGGCTTATTTGATTCAATGGAAGAAATCAAGGATTTGTCTAATTACACTGGTCAAGTCGGTGATGTTGTATTTGTGCCTGCATTTTCGGGGCTGTATGCCCCTTATTGGCGAAAAGATGCTAGAAGGTATGTCTCTAGAAATATATTACTGTAGGCTTCTGCGGTGGTCCTTCTCTATGTTGATGTGTTGCAATAATTATTTTATTTAGTGTAATTTGCGGATTATCTGAAGAGACTGAGAAAGGACATTTAATCAGAGCAGCTTTAGAGGCTGCATGTTTCCAAACCCGTGATATATTGGATGCCATGAATGCGGACTGCCACATTCCATTGAGTCGTTTATTAGTTGATGGGGGTATGACTGCTAACAACTACATAATGCAGCTTCAGGCAGATCTCAGCGGAATACCTGTTGGTGTGTACTGGCACAATTTTTGAACAGTATTCTCACATCCCAATAACTCATTTGTTTAATTTCTCTGATCTACGTTTTCAGTGCGTCCCCTGATGACGGAAGCTACTGCCTTAGGTGCCGCAATAGCAGCTGGTATTGCTGAAGGAGTGGCAGTGTGGGATTTAGATAACACTGTTGATGTTCCCTGTGATATTTTCTATCCACGTATGACGGATAATGGTATGTTGTTTCTTTATGATCTATTGTTTTGTTTTATTAATTTGTCAAGTACATTATTGGATGCCTGATTGTTCTTCATATATGCGTTTTATTTTCAGAAAGAGAAATTCTTCATCTTAAATGGAAGAAAGCTGTTGATCGTAGTTTAGGCTGGGATGTGGACCCAACAGAAGAACCTACAGAAGGTATGTAAAAGAGTTTATTAAATATGAAAGGTACCAGGCCAAGACTTTATGTTAAAAACAAATGCTAAAATGGCTAAAGATCTTCCAACTGGTGAAAGTTTTCATTCATCAATGTTTTAGAAAATGCATTATAGGTTGTAAAGTGAACTCAAAGCATGCAGACCTTCATGGCATGACCATACACACTTCACCTTAGTGTCCAGAAATAGTCAGAATCCCTGCATTTCTCCCTTAAAAGCCTCATGCTTGGTCCTCATTGGGTAACTTGGTGTTGTTAATGGTTCTTTTATCTTCCACCATCTACATTTTTCATGTCTTTCATTCTTTGTTGCAAAGCTTAACATGCATTATCTTTTGCCTTGCTCCCTCAAGATGCGCTTCCTGTGGCTTTGGCTTCATTGCCCTCAGGCCTAGTCCACATGTCAAGTGGTGAGTTAAATTTACTTTCAGTCTCAGAGGAGGGTTTGGAAAGTAAGTTTTTAAAAACTCTTGAAATCCATTCTGGTTTGTAAAATGTAGTTGTTTTAAACACATAATTTTTGTTTGCTTCTTGATTCTCTCATCCTAAAGGATCCTAAAGTTTGTGTTTGAGGTATCATCATCTCCCTTCTCTCATCTCGTTTTAATTTTATGCTTGAGTAGGCGTAGGCCAATATCACTGTCGTGTAGTTCCACATCTGTTACTATTTTGAAAAAGATAGTTCAGTTCAAGCTTTATGTTGGCTTTTTACAGATTGCTGTTATGATGAATGTAATTTTCTTCTCAAATTTTGTATTGCAATGTCTGTTTGCAGGAGATAAACATTCATCAATGGTGTCAACTATTCCAGCTGGCATCTTTCTTTTGACGACACTTGGTCTTTTAGTTTTTGCCCGGTGGCGAAGTGGTCAAGTGTAAGAACCTTAAGAATCTATCAGAGTACGAGTGAAGGAAACCAAAATAGTATGATTATATCTGCTCTTGCCTTTCCCTTAAAGAAACATGTACCATAATGCTACTTTTTTGGTTTAGTTGAAAACATTGAATTAGTTTTCCTCTACAATGTGTAAAAATATTTTACCTTCAATCTGAAACAACATCCATGTGTTCATAATTGATATTAGAAGTATCAAACTATTATTTTACATCTGGGAATTTCTCCTCTTTCCATGTGATTTGTTCTTTTAGTCATTTTTGTAGTCAGTTTTTTGTTTGCTTGTGATATTATTGAATATGTGTCATCTATTATCATCACACTACAATATGTAAATGAACAAATTCAGCTGAAGAGCTTTTCCACATAACTAGTCATAAGTAACCGCTCAACTTTTGTTTTCTAGTTTTTATCATGGGAATGCAGGTACCTTTTATTGGGTCTGTTATTTATCTTCTCATGGACCAGAATTCTCTTCTAGTCAGTAGATTTAAGGATCTTTTTCAGTCAGATTCAGTCAGCATTGTTGTTAAAAGCAGCTAAGGCTGTTGCTTGTTGTTGCATTGCTTGATGTTTTATGATTCCCTGATGAAAGCAGCTTGAAATAAACAAAAACCAAAGCTAAACTTTTTTTTTCAATTCTTTTTCCAACTATTTTGAATGTGTGACAATATATGCTTGCACGAGAAATAAACGTTTCTCTTAGGCACAAAAGGGGAACCTTAAAAAAAAAAAATTTTTTTTAGGGATTGCAATGTTTGCAGACATGTCCTCAGAGTAGCTGACAGAGTTCTGGGTCGACGTCTACACCTGCCACTGCCGGTCGCAGTGCCGCTCCTGGTGGCGGTGGCGCTAGAGGATCGGCACCTCTGCTGCACACAGTGCGGCCCGTGGCCGTTGGGCCGTTATCGCTTGGGGCGGGGCAAGGCCGGGGCCGGGGACGCCAAGAAGGGCGCCACGCCAGTGACATGGCTCCGCGGTCCCTGCTGCCGCTGCTCCTGGCCGTGCTTGTGGCAAAGCCCTCTGGCGGCCGGCCCGGCGATCTAAGGCAAGTCCTCCGAGGCGCGCTGCGTACGTTGACGCCGTGAGCTCGGTCAAGCATGTAATTTGCTTGAGTTGAACCTGGCGTTGCCGCCAGGGCCAGGGACCGACAGCCAGGTCGCACGTCGACCTTGGCCTCCTCACCGCACCGAAGTCCAACGATGACGACGGCGACATCAGTGCCACAGCAGCGCTCCGAAGCGACGGGGACCGCGGCTTCGACGCGGCGCCACCGCGTCGTGCACCTGACCGTGCACAAGGTGGCCGACGGGAACGCCACGTCCGGTGCGGCCGGTGCGGCCGGCCTGCAGGGGATGATGCGCATGGGGCCCATGGGCGGCGACGCGTTCATCGGCCACGCCCGGCACATCGCGGCCACCATCGTGAGGAACGTGTTCAACACCGCGTCGGAAGTCATCACGTACATCATCGAGTATGTGTGACGTGTAGCCCGTGGTGCAGCCTGCAGCAAGCCGGGCGCGAGTATCGGTCCAATAAACGGAGGAACTCTCCCACGCGTTGCCTTCGCCTTCCATTGCACCGCCAGAGCCAGTGCCCAACCTCGCCTAGAGTCCTCAACAGAGCGCCTGGGATGGCCGGGGTAGGCAACATCTCCATTCGCGACACCCGAGCGCGGCGGGTTGGCCTACCCCGCCGTTTGCAGGCGTTCCGCACGCGACGCGCGGCGCGCCGGGCGAAACCGGTGCAGCGGTGCGAAGCAGCTGATGAGGCGCAAGGTGCCTCGCCTCGCCTCGCTCTGGAGGGGCCAAGCCGGGCCCCCGTGGCGCCTGGCTCGGGCCTAGGGCGTCGCCTAGCGTCGCCGGCCCGGCCCGTGCGCGTATCGCCGGCGCGTGCTTGTTGCCCCTCCCCGCCACACCCCCGCCCCCGCCCTCCCTCCTCCACGCCTCCACGCTGCCGGCCCGCGGCCGCACCGCCGGCCCTTCCCTTCAGTCCTGAGCCGGGCGCGACACCGATCACACAGCGTCCGCGAGGCAGACGCCAGGCCCAAGCCCAACGGCCCAACCCCAGGACAGCGACGTGCTCGCAGACGACGCCGCGACGCCACGACGCCGCTTGCAGGACCAGGGTGCTCGGCGGACCTTGCGACGGACGCTGCGGACGGCGACGCGACACGGAGACACGAGGGAGGCACCGCATGGCACCTCGGCGTGCCGTCGCCCTCGTCTAGCCGGTGTTTACATTCACAGCGACCGGTGAGTCTCGAAGAGCCGACTACTGTACCAGTGCATATGTTGATGTAGTTTATTGTGCTGATCTAGCCAGTTTGGGAAAACACTGAGGGGTTTGTGTTGCCTTCACGAGCATACTTTGATGCGAATGCACGAAGTGATTCTCTGCGACCCCGACATCGAGAGCCGAGTCCATGGTCGCCCGTCAGGGCAGCAGTGGCAGTGTACTAGCAGTGCGACTGTCAGTGTGCAGCGGTGCAGCGAGCCGTTTTGTCTGGCAAATGTATGCCGTCAGCGCGCAGCAGTAAGGAATAAGGGATACCCACTGCAACAAGTGTTGGCAGCGGACCGTGCGTGCCAGCGCTTGCGTTAGTGTGTGTGAGAGTGTGTGTCCGGCACGCTTGGGGTAAGATTGGGTGGGGGTGGGGGGGATGACAACTCACAGGGAGTTCCCCGAAAATGTCTCACGCCCTGGCATGCGCCCGTCCGAGCATGCATATAAGCAGGGGAGTGAAACACACACGTTAAAGCACACACACACGCGCACAAAGAGAGCGCAGCGACCCACGCTGACACTACAAACCCTCTCGTGGGAGCAAAACTTGGGATGGTGTGTGTTTGTGTATGTGTGTGTGGGCGCCCCCGCGGGACCGCTCCGTGGGGCTCACCCGGTGATTCGGCATACCAGGGATTTCACCGCCGCGCCTGCCCCGGCTGCCCCGCCCCACTTTCCCCCAAGCACTTCGTGGACTGCTACTTGTTGCCCCGATCCTCATGAATGTCGGCGATACCCCGCGCCGCGCCGCGCTGCGTGTTTTCCATTTCTTTCCCTGCCACGGGCGCGGCCGCGCGAGCCCAGCAGCCCAACAACCTAGCGGCGTGTGCGCCGCGGCGCCCCGCCTGTCCATTGACACCGACGCCCCCTCAGCCTCCCCCCCCCTCCTCGCCGATGTTCGCGGGGTGGCGCCAAGCGGATGTGGCATGTGTATCGCATCATGAAAGACTAGCCCGTGCCGTCGAGCCGCGCAGTTCGTACATACGTGTGATACGTGCCGGCAGACAGACAGACAGACGGGTACGTGGTGCGTTTTGCGTTTGCACGAGGTGAGGAGCGAGCCTTTTTTTCGACGACGCCCCGCCCCGCCTCGACGGCGTCCTCGGCGCCACGGCGTGCTAATGTCTCAATTTGTCGCGGCGCCGGCAGGCCGGCAGGGCCCGCACTGTAAATCTGGCCGCGCTGCGCCGCGCGCTGAAATATTTGCGGTCCTCGTGGCGCCGTCCCTTGCACCGTCGTGCTTCGTCGCTCTGTCCCTCTCGCACCCCTGCGGAAGGGGAGGGCCCCGTCGCGAGTGCGAGAGAGACAGCGCGGCGAGAGCGCTGCTGTTGTTCGGAATCTCGGAATGAGCCTGCCGCTGTCTGCACCGCGTACGGCCCTCCTCGACAAGAAGAAGTGGTGGTGTTCACGACGAGCCCACGAACTGCGAGTCGGCGAGGCGGCAGGGGTGGGGTGGCACAGGGGTGGCACAGTGGGCCAGAAGACCGGTGGAGGCGGCCAAAACTCTGGACGCGTTTTGAGCTCCAGAGTCGCTAAATGGGACTCGAACTGGGCGTGTGACCCCACCAATGGAGTGCTCTCCGAACGAGGAATCCGTTGGTGGGGTCACACGTTTGATTCGAGTCCATTTAGCGACTGTGGAGCTCAAAACGCAGCTAGAGTTTTTGGCCGGCGGCGCCGACCTTCTGGCCCACTGTGGGTGGGCAGCCCGCCGTACCGCGACGCACACACACACCGCCCTTCCTCGGCGCGGCCGGCGCCTCGCCGCCGCTCGTTACCCGCGGCTTAGCGGCGCGGCGCGTCCCGGCCGGCGGTTGACTGCGGTTGACGGGCACGTGGCGCCACGTGGCGGGCCATGTGATGCTGCCCGGCGCAGCGCCGCACGCCGCCCAGGCCGCCCAGCACAGAGGCCGCTTTGTTTACTGCCGCGTGCGCCGGCCGGGCCGGCCGCAACGCACCGCAGCGCCAGACAAGGACTGAACGGACTAAAAACAGCAACAACAACGGCAAGGCTCCAGCACCACGTAATAGCCCTGTCGCCGCTACCCTGCCGTCCTACGGCGAGGCGTGGCGAGGCCTGGCCTGGCGTGGCCCAGTTCGGCAATGGATTGAACCGCGCCCTGGCCGGTCCGGCCCCGGTCGGCACTGCTGGCACGACCAATTTGCAGACGGCCTCGGCGCCGCGCGCTTTGCCGGTGTCAGGGCACAGGGTCGCGGGGCGCAATGGAGCGTGGGGCGGGGCGGGGCGGCCGCTTGAAAACGGAATCACTGAGTCCGCGCCGCCGGCCCGGCCCGGCATTACTTCCGGGTCCACACAGGAATGATAACTGGAGGCACAAGTTGGATTGGGAGGGCGACCAGGCCGAGGACTGAGACTGGAGGCCGCACCGAGTTGGGACGCGGACTCTGGGTAGTCTGGAGTCCGGGCAGCCTGGAGCCTCGCGCTAATCTCGCTGGGATGACAAAGGAGGCAGCGGGTTCGTCTCGTGTCGCGCGGAACTTGGGCACTAATTAGTCACCGGGCCAACCTCTTCTTTTTGCCTTCCACGATTGCCGACGATAACAAGCTGGGGAATCAAAGTTCGCAGAGCGTCGCCGGGTTTGCGAGGGGCCGTCTGAAACCAAGGTTCCAAAAAAACCGTAACCCCAAAAGAGGTGTCAGTGACTTAATGAGATCTCAAGGACGTATTGATTCATTGAGTTTACATTATTCTGCCCGTGCGTATTTACTCGCACACACGCACGCGCCCCCGCACACACTTTGCTCGTCGTATAAACTCCGCGTTAGGGCCCCGCCCGTTCCACCCCGCCCCGCCCCGCCCCGCCCCGCCCCGCCTCGTCATCGGGGCAATGGGGCGTGGTGCCGGACATGCGGTGGGGCGACGCGGCCAGGGAACGGCCCCCGGCCCGGAAGTGGATCTGGAAAGCGAGAGTTTTTGCGAGGTAAAAATGGGGCCAAGGAGACGAGACGCTCCGCGGTGAGGGATGGGATGAGGGAAGAAGCGAACCCTGCGACGTGCAATTGACCGTGCCGTGCCGTGCCGCCGTGCCGCCCTGTCCCCGTCCGGGGGCAAAGCGGGGCACCGTCGTCGTCCGGGCGCCGCGGCCCCTCACGCCCTCACCGGCGGCCAGGCGGCCAGCGAAAGTACTACCGCAGCGACACAGCGCGGCGACTCCACCCCAAACTTTTCCGAATGAATGAGCCAAGTTCGGCACGGCAGGGCCTTGCAGGGCGGCGCGGCGTCTGCGGCACTTCCGCGAAAGAAAGGGAATTCGGGAAGGGGGAGGGGGGGGGCGTCTTTCATCGGAATTCTTCGGCGCGTGCTGGCTGCCTGGCGCTGCCTTCTAATCGAGCCGGGAATTAGGGAAGGGAGTGATATGCCAGGAAAAGAGCGTCACGCTGCGAAGACGACTGTTCGAATCCCGCGTGTGACAGTGCCAGCTCCGTCCGCTCTTCCCCTCGCGCTGGCGCATGGTGGCGCCGCCGTGAAGTCGCCGTCGCGAGGCGCCGCGTCTTGGCGATACACACACCAGACTCCCTCCCGCGCGCCTCTCGCGTATCTCTCGCCCCGGCCGCCGCTGCCGCCGCTGCTCGCCCGAATGACTCTAAAATTAGCGATATGCGAGTGGGCAGCGCGGGAAAGGCTGCGGCGGGGCGGGGCGGGGCGGGGCGGGGCTCGGTGCGCCCCCTCCTTCCCTCCCAGGACTCGCGCCCCCGCCGCGCCCGGCATGATGAAGGGGGATTTACGACTCGGACGACAAATGGGAATACGTAATTTATCGGCGCGCCCCGCGTGTTGTGTGTTGCAGAACGCCATGAAGTCGGAGGACAAGAGCGCGGGCCGCGTCCGCATCGCCGTGCTCGGCAAGTTCAACGTCGGCAAGTCAGGTGAGTGACAAGGAATAACACTCGGAGGGACTAAGGAAGTTTGCCGACGATCCAGTGCCTTGAGTGGCGCAGGGCGTTGCGCTGCTGCTTTGGGTTGTTGTGGCTGGTCGTCGTGAGACTGGTGTAGTGCTTTTCCCGGCACTAAGTGGGCGGCCGGGTTTACAGAAGCCGGCTGACTTTGTTTCGCGGAACTACCCCACCCTTACCTCAACTCGCCCCACCCCGCCCCGCCTTGCGCATCTGCCGCTGCCGCGCGGCGCTGCCCCCTACTTCTCCCTGCCCTGCCGGCCTTGATAAAAAGGAAAAAAAAAGTTAGTATTGAAAAACTGAGTCCTTTGTGCCGTGGCCTGCACCGCCGCGCCGTGCCCGTTGGATTGCGAGCACCCGGTGTATAGTAGTTTTAAGTGTGTTTCAAGTGTGAAGGTATCATCTGCTAAAAAATAATCCTGTCAGCGATGACAAAAGCAAAGGCTAGGGCCACTGTGCCAGGCCGCCGCAGGCTGCCGAGCTGCCAGGCGGACATCGATTGGTTTGCACAGCCACCAGTGTTTGTCCCTTTGCCGGGACAGACACAGTCCGACCAGGTTCCCACGGCCTCTCCAGCAGTCCCAGCAGTCCCAGTCCCAGTCCCATCCCCAGTCCCAGTACAGTCCCGGTTCAAGGTCGAGAGCGTCGCCGTGGAGGGCACATTGTCGGCCAGTGGGCTGAGCCGCGGTGACCATGGCGCCATGCCCACGTTCAAAGGGGGTCCGGACCGGTCCGGACTCGGTGCGCGCCCCGTCAGTGTACTAGAGAGAGAGAGAAAAAGGAACAACGACGGCTCTCACTCAATTTAATTGGCAAAGGTAGGGGGTTGCATGTAGCGCGGCAGCTGGACGGGGTTGGTTCTCCTTGACCTGGCGATGATCACCCTCGTCATCATGGAGCATGGAGCAGGGAAGGTGAAACCAAAGCTTCCGCAGAGGAAGGCCTAACTGCACAGGCTCTCCGGGAAGGGGGTCCTTCTTCGTGCAGCTCGAAATGGAAATGGACAGAGAATGCCAACAAGAAGCGCGCGCGGCGAGCTCGGGACACGGAGAGCGGCCGCTCGGAGCGAAGGACACATTTCGCTGAAGCGCCGATCAGAGCCCGAGCAGGGCATTACAAGTCCGGGGGGAGGGGTTGCTGATATCATCTTTTCTACTTTGTCTACTTTGGACAGCGAGGATCTGATTCAACAAGCCCACCCCGGTCCACCCCCGGCCCGCGCCGCCCCCCGCGCGGGGTTCAAGGAACTCCCTGCCGCTCAAGGCTCCGCGCTCCGCGGCGAGGCTAGAGGCTCAAGGCCGCTCCGGAAGGCGGGGATTAGTTGGCAGCGCCGAACAGAGTTGGCACGCCTGGCTAACGAACGAGGCAGGCAGGCAGGCAGCCCGCGGTACGCGCGGATCTGCCAGTCCCTGACCGCGATGACCGCGTCCAGGAGGGTCCGCTTCGGGTGTTCGTTCGCCTGTTCGACTATCAATTTGAAGCAGCGGGGTGCCTCGCCTCGCCTCGCCTCGCCGCCCCCGCCAAGGCAGCCAAGGCCGGCCGGCAGGGTCAGGAGAGCAGCCCGTCGGCGACAAGAACCCTTTGTCCAAAAGGACGGCCTTGGCCGACGTGGCCGTCCAATCCACTCCCCTGCTGGCCTCTTGCGCGCGACGTTTGCGAGGACGTCTGCGCGTCCAGCAGCGCCGCGGGGGGCAGGAAGGCGCGCAGGTGGATCGCATCAGCGTCGAGGACGACACCGAGAGCCCGGCCGCGGCGTAGTACCGGCCCACGCGCGGCCCAAAGTCCGACCCCGGAGAGCTACAAGTGTGTTGTTGTTTTGCTGCGTCGCGCGGGCCAAAGACCTGCTGAGAACACCAAAGGTGGACCGGAGAAAGGGAGGGGGGGGGGGAGAGGGATGGTGTCGGGGTGTTTGTGTACACTCTTTTAGGGTGGCCGAACTCACGCCTCGCCTCGCGCCTCGCCCCCTCCCCTCCCTCTCCCCTCCCGCCACGCGTTCGCGCCCCGCAGTGGGGCTCAGTTCACTGGCTTGTCTTTATTGGCTATCGGGACAGAGGGGTGGTTTTACAGCGGAATATCACTTACACAGGCAGCGCGGCGCGGAGCGTGGAGCGCGGACAGAGGCTCGGCGGCCACAACAGGGGGACGGGCCGGGACGGGCGGCCGGGGGGCCATGACCTGACTCACTGCTCTGGCTTTGTGTCCGATTCGACTCGTCATCGTTTCTGCCCTTCTTTTCTTTTGTCCCAAAGGCCCGACGATCGTCCCGCGCGCTTTGATATGCCCTCCAGGGCCGTCCGGGCCGTCCGGGGCGGTCTGCCACCGCGCGCCCTGCCCGGGGCGAAGGCCTTGCCGAGGGCCGAGGCCGCCGGTTCCTCGTATCGGCTGCTGGCTGGCTGGAGCTGGAGGGCCGCGACGACGTGACGACGTGTCCACGTCTGGCCGTGAGAGTGAGAGTAGGCCCTACCCCACGGCCCAGCTCAAGGGCCGTTCGATGTAACGGCACAGACACGTTCCAAAATTTCGAGAGGCACGCCACCGCAAGCCGCGCCGATCGAACCGTCTTCGCGGTCTTTCCTCGCGGTTTTTCCTCCCCGGCAAAAAGTAAAAATAAGCCTTGCCGCCAACTTGGCCATAAACCGCCTGAGGTGACCCGGTTGAAAACAGGTCGGCGTTGTCCCATCTCTGTATCGTGTGTCATGCGTCACAAATCAAGCGAAAATAACTCTCTGCCGGCACAATATCGCGCTATTGGGAGGCATTCCGAAATCAAGGCATTCACGGCGGTCAGAGCCCCGGCCGGCCCGGCCGCGCTAGCTTAGCGTGGTGCGCCCTTTGTGCCCCCCCCCCCTTTCGCCACCCCTTCTCCTCCCCCTCCCCAACCCCCGTGTTAAGTAACACACTCCGTAACGCGCGGGGGTCCCCGGCCGGCCGAGACCTGCCACAATAATTCTGGAAACCAGGCTAGGCTAAATTCTGCGCGCGAGGCGAGGTGAGGGCGATGTGCGTCTAGGTAGGCCTATGCTCATCGCAGTCGGCTTCGCTAAATCAGGTCAATGCGTCTCGAGTACACACACTGCAAGCGAGTCAAATAGGAAACGCGGCCTCCTTCTCCTTGTTATTGGAGTGAGGATCGGCCTTGATTCCTTTTTCCTACGTCACTTGGTCGCACAACGAGGGTGAATGAACTATACACCTTGGTGCCCTTCGGATGGGCCTGTAGGACCTCTTGACGCGGGGAGGGACGAACCGTGCCATTCATCCTCGGTTCCTCGGTCCTCGCAACCTGTATTAGTGTTAGTGCTGGCCGATCATGGGCCGATCGACCGACACCAATCCCCAATCCGTCCCAGTCCAGGGGGATGGCCCAGGCCTGCCCAGGCCCGCCCAGGCCGGGGGAAGTCCGCGGCGGGGAGGCCTTGTCGGCGACTGTGTTACGAGTCGGGGTGGTTCGGCGCGGCACGCCGCGGCCTGCGCCCTTTCTTATGCAACATCGACCGTGTGTATAACGTTTCCCCTTCGACGCGCAGCGCAGCAGGGCAGCAGCAGGGTGATTCCGAACCGTCGCACTTTGGTGCGTCGCGTAAGGGGTGCGAGAGAGACGGCACGAAGCCACCCTGCTGGGCGTGCTGGGCGCAGGGTAGGCAGCCCGCGCCGGGGGGAAATCGTCGAGGCCACGACGTGGGCCCGGCCGCGCGTCCCTCGCAGTGGCGGGGCGGCGCTGGGAGTAAATATTTTGCAGCGCCGATCACTTTGAACGGCGGATGCCCGCGCGGCCGGCCGGCAGACCGGACCCAAATGAGGCAGACTGCGTCACCGCCGTCAAATCGACATCACGCGCTCCTGTTTTCGTGCGGCCATTTTGGGTTTCTTCCACACTGACACCCCTGACACCACACCAAGGCACGTCGCCAACTAACCTGGACCCTCCTCGTCTGTTGCAGCTCTCATCGTCAGATACCTCACCAGGAGATTCATCGGGGAGTACCGCTCCAACACAGGTGAGCGTTTTCTCGTTTTCTCGTTTTCTCTCTCTCTCTCTCTCTCTCTCTCTCTCTCTCTCTCTCTCTCTCTCTCTCTCTCTCTCTCTCTGACGAGCAGCATGGACTATGCAGCATCCGGCGGGTCGTCTCCACGTCCTTCCACGCGTCTCCGGTTGACGTCAGCGGCCTGGGCAGGGCGGCCCTCTGCGGTGCAGGCGCGTGGGAGCACGGACCAAGCGCCCGACCGGCACGCGTTGGGCTAGGCCGACTGGCTAGGCGGTGAAATGCAGCGTCCAGCCCCAGCCAACCATTCCGAAGACTCGCTCTCTGTCTCTGTCACACTCGCGGGGCTCTCCGGAAGGGTGTGTGAGAGAGACAAGCGACAAACCGCTCTTCTGAATCACACAGCGGCGCGATGCGCCGTGTGACGCCCTCCAGGGGCTCCAGGGCGTCCGAGACCGGCGCGACCGGTTCTTCGGGTGCCCTCTGCGTCACCGCGCCCTGGCGATAACAGTCCTAACAGACGGTGACGTCAGGAAAGGGACCGCCCTATCGTCCGCGGCAGGGCCAAGGCGGCGACGACAACGGGGAACAAGTTGAGACGTCAGGTCGACACTCTTTTCTCACTTTCCACTCACAGGGTGTGTGAGTGCGTGTGTCGACGCGATGGCGTCGCAGTGGCGTCGCGGTGGCGTCGCGGTGGCGCGCTGGACGAGGAAAAGCAGAGGAGGGAGGGAGCTGGCTGGGGATGCGTCAAAGGGCTGCGAATCAAACGCCCCCATTACCCAACTGCCACAATGAGACGCGGAGGGGCGGGGCGGGGCGGGGAGGGGCGGGGCGGGCTGTCTAAACTCGGCGGCGCGCCAAATTAGAGGGCGCCCTAAGGCTTCGTTATGGCTGGTTATGGCGTCCCGGTATGGCATAACTGAACGCACCCTCGAGTCCTCGAATACGTGGCATGCACGCCCCATCCGCGCGAGCACGACGAAGACACGTCCTCTTAAAGTACGCGGATAGAGCCTACCTTGTGGCAGTGGAATTTTCGCAATAAGTCACACTTTTTCCGGTGTGCACGTTTCCTGGCTCTCTGCGGCGGCGGCGGCGACGGCGGCCGCCTCAAAAGGGCTCGATCCGGGCGGCGGCGCGAAAGGCAGCAAAGGCAGCAAGAAGGACAGCAAGGCGAGGCAGCCGCCGGCAAGCGCGACGTGAAAATAGCGGCGCCGATCGCCGTCGCGCCAATCAGAAATAGAAATTAAAAATAAAACATGCCTGCCGCCCCGCGCCGCACTCCCACGTGCGGCACCGCGACACAGCGACACAGCGGCGCCACGGATGAGCGACACCTTCCATATTTCGCCGCCACTGCCGCGGCACTGCCAGGCACTGCCAGGCACTGCCACCGGCCGGCGGCCGCCTGCGTTCTTGGCGCGTTCATGCCCAGGCATGACGCGCATCGCCGCGGCCACCACGCCGCCGCGCCTCCATCTCCGTCCATTCCGAACGGCGCCCTCGTCGCTCTGTCTCCCTCGCACTCATGGGCCGTTCCGTGGGTGGGGCTGCGGGAGAGAGACAGCGACGGAACGCGGCGCGGAACCAGTGTACTGGCTGGCTGCCGTCCGTCCGCTCTTCGCCCTCCTCTCCGCGGCCTGAGTGTCGATCGGACTATCGCATTCACCACCTAGGGCCGGGCCCACGGCCGGGCCGCGCTGGCGGTCGGCGGGGCGGGGAAGGCCTTGGGGGCAGGCCTTCCCGAGCCGAACGCGAGATTCCGAAGGTACGCCCTGGCGCCCTAGCCTCGCGGAATGCCCCGGCGTGCCTTCGGCGGCGTCCGCCCCGCCCTGTAGCCCGCACCCTGCGCGCACCCTGCAGCACGTCGACGGCCAGGTTGGGCTCGCCCAGAGCGGCGGCTGCTCTCTCCTCCCTGCTCCCCCTCGCCGTGCCGCAGTGCCGTGCATCTGACCTCGTCTATGCGATGCAAGACTGTTGTCGCCGCGCGGACCGTATTTTTAAACTCGGCGCCGCCGTCCCGCGCACTGCCCCGCGGCCGCGCCGTTGCAGCGCCACCGCGCGCCGTTTATACCGACGGTCCCGGCACGCGGCGCGTCTGAGTCCCGTATCGGGAGGAAAAACCAAAACCGCGCCCCAGAAAAACTGTTTGTTGTGGCCGGACTGGCCAGCCGGACCGCGGTGTTCTTTTTCGCCTCGCGCAGCAGACACCGCGTGAGGGGTCGCCTCTTCACAGTCTGGCAGCGCGCCTTTGCTTTCAACGCGCTCACACACGGGGCCAGCAGGCCAGCTGGGGCTTTGAAACAATATCCCAGCCGGCGGCGGCGGGGATCGAACCCGCCGCGGCTCGCACGGCGCACACCAATCCACCACCACACGCGTGAATCACTTCAGGGGGGAAAAGGAAAACATCCCGGGCGAGGCCCGCGACGTCGCGGCGAGCGGGGCGGGGCGGGGAGGGCGGGAGGGCGGCCAAGAGGGAATTCCCGGTCGACATTGAAATTTCCTCATGGAGGGCTGGCCGCCGTGGCCGCCGTGGCCGCCACGTTGGCCGCCGCCACTTTGATCGCTTGCATTCCACGGCCGCGCGGCGGATGTGGCGTTGGCGGTGCGGCGGGGCGGGGCTGCATGGCGGGGGCCCAAGTCGCCGCCGCGGCCCGTCCGCAGCGTCACTGACCGCGCCAACACAAATGTAAACACCTGGCTTCCGAGCGGATTTCGCACCCCGACCGCCCCGACACCCTCGCATCTCGCAGCGCGCAGCCTCGCAGGGGTTCATCAAAGCGCTTCCCAATCCCTCGTCGCGCCCCCGCGCGCCGCCTCTATCGGTTTATGGTAGGTTATGGCCCTGCCGGGCCGGGGTGCGCGGTGGCCGATGGGGCGGACGGATCAGCGAGAGCTTTCACTTCCTTTCTCGTGAGTGCGCGGCGACGCCCAGACGCCCCCGCAAGACGGCCTGCTTCGCCTGCTTCCGCGCCGTTGCTCCGGGACTCCTCCCCCTTTCCTCCCCCTTTCCACATCCTTCCACGACCCCCGCGGGACCTAATCATTGCTTTCGGTGGGACAAACGGGAAGTGGTCACCGCGAAAACAACTCCCCTCCCCTCCGCTCCCCGCCGCCCCTGCCCCTTCCTGCCAGACGCAGCCGCGCGGCGAAAGGGGCGGCATCGTCAAGGCTCCGGTGCGGAGGGGAGGGGGGGGGAGGCTGACCCGATTCCGTCGTCGCTATGATCACTTCCGGGTGAAGGTGATAGCCTCGACAACGACGCCGGCAGTCTGGCCCGGGCCGGGTCCTTCGGGGGTCTGTCATCCAGGGCCACGGCGATGGGGGGCGGGGCGGGGCGGGGCGGCGCTGGGCTGACCCGCTGGCCTCGGCCGGGTCACCGCGACGGCCATGGCGACGGCACCTCGGCACGTCGGCCGGGGTGTTGTCAACTAATTTGGCGGCTCGAAGTGGCGCGGCCGGCCTATACCACCGCTGTCCCCGGCCATGCCCCGGCTGTCCCACTGACAGTGTCGCGCTGACAGTGTAATTAGTCGGCCGGCGCGAACAGGAAAAGGGGCTCCTTGTCCTTGCCCGTGGAGGGGCCCGTGGCGGAGCCCCTCGGGCCCTGGCCCTCTGGCCCTCTGGTGTATCCACGTGGACGGATTTAGGACGCCGCCGCGACCCGCGGCACCCTGACCTCGTGGCGATGCGCCCCGCGGGCCGCGGGCTGGGGTAGCGCTGGCGCCCTGAACTTGCGTTGTGGAGCTGCGCGGCACGGCACGGCGCGCGCCGGCGGTGGCGGTCGGTCAGCCTCGAAAATGTCACCCGCCGGCCGCCGCGCTGTTTGTGTCCTCGTCCTCCTCAAATGTCACCACGTCGTCTCGTCTCGTCCACCAGAGGAATCTGGGATGAAAACGGCGCGTGCCTGGCCGTCCCTGGCGGCAGAAGGGCAAGGCTGCGCAAGGCAGCGTTCACCGCCTCGAGTTTTTGGCTTGTGCCTCATGGTTCGCGTTTCGCTCTGTGTTGCAGACCTCCTCTACCTGCAGGCCGTCGTGGTCAAAGGCTCCCTCATGGACGTGGAGATCGTCGACGTGTCGGGGGAAACGGTGAGTCCCGAGTTTCGGGTGGTGGCCCCTCAGTGTAGGCGGCCCATCCTACGGGCGTGCTGAGCGGGCTGCCCGCCCCGCGCTCTGCAGGCGCTCGGTGCTGACGGCCTTTCTCTCTCTGTCTCTGCAGCGCGACTCCCCCTTGGAGGCGGCCCAGCTGGCGGCCGACGGCGTGGTCGTCGTGTACTCCATCACGGACCGCGAGTCGTTCGAGTACGCGCAGCGGGTGCTGGAGCTGCTGTCCACGGTGCCGGGGCTGCCCACCACGCTGCTGGCCAACAAGGCCGACCTGGCGCACCTGCGAGCGGTAAGCTGTCTTTGCGTACAGTGTGCGCGCCTTGTGTCCACGGCCGTTCGTGCATTCGTTGATTCGTTGATTCGTCGCTCCAGGTGAAGGAGTCCGAAGGCCGAGCTCTGGCCGAGACCACCAACTCCGCCTTCTACGAGGTGTCCGTGGCGGAGGACAGCCCGGGCGTCTACCAGGCGTTCGAGCTGCTGGCCAGCGACTGCCTCACCTTCCTCAACAACAACAACACCCTCAACAGCAACAACAATAACAACAACAACGCCGCCAACAGCACCACGACGCGGACGAGGAAGTTCTCCGTCACCAAGATGCTGGGCACGCTCATCAGCGGCAAGAGCTCCTCGCCACCGCCGTCCTCGCCGCCGCCCTCCACGTCATCGTGCTCCTGGCAGCAGGGCACGGTCAAGGTGTGCCAGAAGGCGGACCTGTACCGCAGCGGCATGCTGCAGCGGCGCGTCAAGAAGACCTCCATCACCGCCTCGCTGTGACTAGAGCAGCAGCAGCAGGGACTGCACTGAGGCCGCCAGCGCAGGCGTCCCTGCTTCCCCAGTCTTCTGGATGTCGCCTGACAGTGCAGTGGAAATGCTTTGAACGCTCTCAGCGATGCTCGTTGGAAGACTGGACCATTTCGTAGGAGAGAGAGCAATGGAGAATGATACACAATAGTAGACAGTGGGTGCGGTTCGACTCGGTTTGACCATACACTGCGACGGGGGGTTTCCAAACGGCCTAGGCAGCCATCGTGGGCGCCATCTAGCTAAACGCGTTTCTTGATCTGAAAGCCAACTGTGATATTTACCGTAATTTAAGATAATGCCAGAAGAATATGAGCTGCCGAGAGATGATGTTCCAAAATGGAAGAGCCCTATCGGCACGAGCGTTTCGAGGAATCGTGTGTGTTCAATTGTATTTATTCACCTCCGGGTCAAAATCGAAGGCAGGCATTTCTTTTCCGTGTGCGGAAGGTTACGGCGGTGTATTGTATACTCGCCTTTTACCGAATGTAATAATATTGTATGTGCTGTTATTTCTAGTCATCCAGTTCAGGTTCTAATTAGATAAGTAAGAGCTGGCGGAGGCGGGAAACGAGTACACAATGGGAGAGTTATTTAGGTGTAAGTTCGGTGGTAACGATGTGATTTGCGATGCTAGTCTGACTTTTGGAGTCCGCTTCCACCCCCGCCAGCGTTTAAGCATTAACTAAGTGTACGAATCTTGACATTCCTGTAGCATGTAAGTCGTACGAAGTGATTCGGACGTGAGAAGAGGAGAAGGGGAGCTTTCGAAAAGACGGCGCGACTGTATTCGGGAAATGTGTTTTACCAATAAATAAACTATATTGTAACTCTTTTTCATTGAAAAGTACTGTTAAGTGTGTATAAATGATCGTGTGAATGTGAGTACGTGTGTCTGTCCTGTCTGTCCGTCTATGGATGTGCATGTAACTGTTTGAAAATTCAAGGTGATTTTAAATATGTGCACGAGTGCTCAACATAATTAAGCCCTGAGTTTCTAATAAAAGCGACGACTACAAAAGAGGTTCATCGGGGTTGAAATGATGTTTCTGTGTCCGTCGAGAACTGCCTGTCGAGTACACTGTTTGCAAAGAATCGTATGATGAATAAAAGTGTTAATACAGTAATTATAACTTGTGGTCAAATTATTTCTTGAACACGTGTTCAACATATTTTATGAAGTATACAGCGAGTGGGCAGCGGGAGATTCCTAGTGTTCCACCCGCACGCGCCATGACCACACCGACGACGGAGGGGGCGGCCAGGGGGCAGCCAGGGGACGGCTAGGGGGCGGCCACTTGCCGTCTGCTCCTTGATTTCCCCTCCCCCGGCCGTGACGTCACTTTTGGACGCCCCCCGCGAGGCGCGCTGCGCCACGCTGCGCCACGTGTCTGCTTGTCGCACGGGCCGGGGGAGCGAGAGAGAGAGAGAGAGGGAATCGCACGAGGACCACGACCCTCCATTATCCCGCAAGCGGCGCCCCCACAGTAGTCGCAGCGCCGCAGCCAGCAGGCTGGTGCCGAGAGTCGTTTCCGTCGCTGTCTCACTCGCACCTCTACGCAACGCCCCACGGGTGCGACAGAAACAGAAAGCGAAACGGCCTTTCGGAATCGGGCGGCAGGGCAGCCGACGCCAGCGCGGCTCATTCATCGGTAGGAAAAGTCGCGCATCGCGGCGAGGAAACTTTCCTCCAGGCCGGCGATACGACAGGCCGACAGTCGTGGACAGTTATGCCAACATCAGTAAGCAAAACCACCCCCAATGCTGCAGTGTCAAAAGGGTTGCCAATCTAGGCAAAGTCTCGAGATCAAAGTCCAAGGAAGGCAAGCAGAAGTTGCAACCCTCCAGACGCCGGTGCACCAACAAAATATTCAGAATATCAAGAAAATATTCGATAGTGTCGAAAGGCCACCTTTCCCTCTGAAACTATGGTCCAACCTGCCCTTCCCTACCATAACCTCACCCAACCTAACCTAACCTAACCTAACCTAACCTAACCTAACCTAACCTAACCTAACCTAACCTAACGTTCGGGACGTCTAGCCGTCTAACCTAACCTAACCTAACCCAACCTAACCTAACCTAACCTAACCTATTCCTCCAGGACCTCCGGGGTCACGCCGTTCGGCTGCCGCGACACTGTCGCGCTTCGGCTGCCGCGACACTGTCGCGCCTGGGGCTGCCGCGGGCCCGCTGTCCGCGCCTTCCCCTGGCCCGCGACGCTGTCGCGCTTCCCCTGCCGCGACACTGTCGCGCCCCCCCCCTTGGGGCCCCTGGCCCGCGACGCTGTCGCGCTTCCCCTGCCGCGACACTGTCGCGCTTCCCCTGCCCGCGAGATACCCGCGAAAGTTTTGCCGGGCCCAGCGAGTGCCTGCGAGTGCCCGCAGGAGTTTAGCCGGGCCCCGCCTGACGTAACCTAACCTAACCTAACCTAACCTAACCTAACTTAACCTAACCTAACCTAACCTAACCTAACCTAACCTAACCTAACCTAACCTAACCCAACCTAACCTAACCTAACCTAACCTAACCTAACCTAACCTAACCTAACCTAACCTAACCTAACCCGACCCGACCCGACCCGACCCGACCCAACCCAACCCAACCCAACCCAACCCAACCCGCGACCCCGAGTCTAGTCAACTCCTCTACCCTGACCGCTCAGCCACCGAACCAGCTTGTCGACGGTGATGTCGCAACTCCTCTTGAGCTGCCGTTCGAGAAATCTGGTCTCGAAAAAATGGTGCTTCGAGCGGTCTCGAACCCGGCACCTGCCGCTTCCCACGACATGCTCTTAACCACTGAGCCACCGGTACGCCATGGCACCCGCCTTGCCTGCGCTGGTACTCAATCTTCTCTGAATATACCTCCCCAAGCAATTGGTCGCCGAAAAAATTGTGTAGACCACCGGTCCCGAACCCGGGACCTGCCGCTTCCCACAACATGCTCTTAACCACTGAGCCACCGGTACGCCATGGCACCCGCCTTGCCTGCGCTGGTACTCAATCTTCTCTGAATATACCTCCCCAAGCAATTGGTCGCCGAAAAAATTGTGTAGACCACCGGTCCCGAACCCGGGACCTGCCGCTTCCCACATCATGCTCTTAACCACTGAGCCACCGGGACGCCATGGCACCCGCCTTGCCTGCGCCGGTACCCAATCTTCCCTGGATATACCTCCCCAAGCAACTGGTCGCCGAAAAAATTGGAAATACTACCGGTCCCGAACCCGGGACCTGCCGCTTCCCACAACATGCTCTTAACCACTGAGCTACCGGAGGACCATGGCACCCGCACTGCCAGCGCTGGTACTCAATCCTCTCTGGATAGACCTCGTCAAGAAGTCGCTTGCCTTTGCCGAAAAATATGTCCTGAACCCAGTCCGAACCCCAGGCCTAACCGTCAGCCAACCCAACCTAAAACCACCGCTACCAAAAATTGTTGCGCCTCACCGAGCGCCAAATTTTGGCCCCATCTTGCTTAGGCTGGACAAACTTTTAACTTGGGCTAGCCTGCCGGGCAAAAAGTTCCCGGGTTCCTCCGGCCTAACCTCCACCAGCCGGCTGCGCGGGCCCAGCGAACCCTGAGGGGAAAATTTTTTTCCGGGGGCCGGGGGGGCCGAATGGCCTCGTAGGGCCCCACCGTGGAGGCCGCCTCGGCCCTAGGCCTTGGGAAGCCCGTCCGGGCCCAAATTTCGGCCGAACCTGACCGGAACCTAAAACCTAGCCCAACCTAACCAACCAACCAACCTAACCAAAATTCTATTCCTCCGGGTGGGGCCAAAAGGCCTTTAGGTGGGCACTTAGGCTTTGGCTTGCGCAACTGTAGGCCTTTGGGCCCGCCGGGGGACGCTAAAATTTGGCTTCCCCTAACCGACCTAACCCTCCTAACCAACGACCTGCACATTCTTTTCCGACCGATTGGGGGCCGCGAATGGCCTTCCTGGGTAGGACAGTGCAACCTAGGCTGGCGAAGGGGCCCTTCCGCGCGACACTGTTCGGGTTAACCTCCCGAACCCTTTGCCTAACCCACCGAAAACTGTCCGCCTTCCGCACACTTGCGCTTCCCCGCGAGAGCACACCGCTACAACTGCCACACGCAATACAACGAATTCCCCTCCGAAAGAAAACCAACGCTTCCTGCCCAAACCCGGAAAGTTTTCCCCACGAGTCCTCGACCCAGGAGTTTAAGGGCCCCTCTAACCTAACTACCAACCATTTAACTTTAGGGCCTCCGGGGACGCCCTTCGGCTGCGCGCCCCCTTTTTGGCTGCCCGAACGGCGCCTCGGGTTCCCGACGCTTCCCTTCCCCCGGACCTGCCCCCCTGCCCCCCCCAAATTTTGCCCCCCCAGCCTGGGGCCCCAAAATTTCCCCCCCCCCCTTCCCCTCCAACCTCCCCCTTTTCCGGGTCAGTTTGGTCCGGAATGGGCCTGGCGCCCGACCGGCCCTCCCCCCCCCGACATGTCCCCGGCCCGGACGCTGCCGCCCCCCGCGCGCACCCTTCCTGGGAACTTTCCCCCCGTGCCAATTCCCCCCCCGCCGAAAGGCCCTTCCCCTCCCACACTTCCCGGCTCCGGAGCTTGCCCCCGCCGCGCTGTCCCACCCCTCCCGGAGACCCGAAATTTGCCGGGCCCAAGGGGGCCCCAATTTCCCCCCCCCAACCCAACCTAAAAAACCAACCCAACCAAAATCCCCGCCCGAGCCCGACCCCCAACCCCCCCAAACCCCAACCCCCCCCCCAAAAACCCCCCGCGAATTGTAACCTCCCTACCGCCAACCAACCCCCCGGGGGGTTCCTCCATGGGCAAATGGCCGAACCCCTTAGCTGGTTGAGAAATGGTTGAAAAAGGGCGGGCGGTTAACCCCGGGACCTCCCTTCCCCCAAAATGCCAACCACACCACCAGCCATCCCCCCCCGTGGCCGGACCCAATTTTCCCGGTATACCTCCCCGAACGGGCGCCCAAAAAAATTGTTTTAACCCCCAACCCCCCTCCCCCCACAAAACCAACCTAGCAAGGGGCCCTGGCCCCCCCCGTGGCTAATTTCCCGGTAGACCTGTGAAGCGGTTCCGGGCGAAATAAAATCGGCTTAACCTCCAAACCCAACCTTAACCCAACCCCCAAAAACCCAAAAAAAACCGAACCAAACAAAATTTTTTCCTTCCCATGGGCCCAGAATGGCCTCAGTAGGGCTAGGTTAGGCTAGGTTAGTGCAACCTAGGCTTGGGAAGCCTGTCCGGGCGAAATAAAATTCGGCTTAACCTAACCTAACCTAACCTAGCCCAACCTAACACAACCGAACCTAAGCAAATTTTTTTCCGTCCGATGGGGCCAGAATGGCCTCAGTAGGGCTAGGTTAGGCTAGGTTAGAGCAACCTAGGCTTGGGAAGCCTGTCCGGGCGAAATAAAATTCGGCTTAACCTAACCTAACCTAACCTAACCCAACCTAACACAACCGAACCTAAGCAAAATTTTTTCCGTCCGATGGGGCCAGAATGGCCTCAGTAGGGCTAGGTTAGGCTAGGTTAGTGCAACCTAGGCTTGGGAAGCCTGTCCGGGCGAAATAAAATTCGGCTTAACCTAACCTAACCTAACCTAACCCAACCTAACACAACCGAACCTAAGCAAAATTTTTTCCGTCCGATGGGGCCAGAATGGCCTCAGTAGGGCTAGGTCAGTGCAACCTAGGCTTGGGAAGCCTGTCCGGGCGAAATAAAATTCGGCTTAACCTCACCTAACCTTACCTAACCCAACCTAACACAACCGAACCTTAGCAAAATTTTTTCCGTCCGATGAGAGCACACCGCTACAACTAGCACACACGACAATACCAAACGAATATCATCGAAAGAAAACCAAACGAGTATCATCTGCTTTCATTAACGTTCGTTGAATGAGATTTTTTCAAAAAAAAAAGCATGTTTATTTGAAATATTAATATTTTAATGGTAGACGCTTTTTTGGTAGACACAATGAGCCGCCCCCATTTTAATGGTAGACGCTTTTTTGGTAGACTTAATGAGCCGCCCCCAAAATTTTTCTTCCCCAAGTCGGATAGCCCTGGGGTGAGGAAATGTGCGGCTGTCCGACTGGACCCTGGATCCACCTCTCCCCCT